GATTCTGATACCATATCAATATTCATAGGTTTCATCTCAAAATTAATAAATAATGAAATTAGTAGCTATTGTTTGATTTTTATTTTTTATTATAAATTCTTGTTAATTATAATTAATCACTTGATTAAAAAAAGAAAAAATAAATAAAAACACGTTCCAGGTTTAAGAGAAAATTCTATGAGTTGATGGGTTCATCTAATCCTTGTCGGAAATTGCTTCCCATTTCTCTCTCTCTCTCCAACTAACAAAACAAACTGAAACACTGATAAAAAAAGAAGAATAATAATAATAAGTGTAATTTTATTATAAATAAAAAATATAATTAAAGTCTCATCTGCAGGATTTTGTTTGACATCCGTGTAAGAATTGAATTCCCCATGAGCAAAGCATTTTTGTAATGCAATTTGCAAACCCCAAAGGGTTGAAATCCCTCCATTTGCTGAAATTATCTTGTGGGCTGTGCAAAGAAACTCTGCAAATTTATTAATAAGCCTCTTACAGACAGTAACTTTAATTTGAACTCTACATCTTTCTACAGCATCTAATACAATAAAAAGGGGACATTTTTTTTAATATGGCTTAATTATTATTAAATCTATTTTTTAAAAAATAATATTCACCAAACTATTATCAAGAATAATACTTAAAAATAAGTGGGCATCTCAAGAAACGACCTATTGAGGTCGCAGGAATACAAATTGTCTCTCGAAGATACGACTTATTAACATGACATTTTGATTTTTTTTTAATCCACAAGTTGTGTCTCCGTGTACGTGGCACTCTCAAGATTTTCTTAATATTTTATAAAAACAAAAATCAAATCAAATTTAACTGGAAAAATCTAAAAAAATCTTAAAACAAACCAAAAAAATCTATTTTTTTTATAAAAAAACTAACTTTAAAAAGAATGATACCTTCTCCATAAATATTAATGAAAAAGCAGCATTTGTTACGTGGAAACTGAGAACTAAGTCTAAATATTCTAAGCAAAAACGAATTTTTGTCAAAGTTGTTATTCTACAAATTGAAGTGGCAAGGAAGGAGAGGTTGGTGAAGGAAAAATAAGTTGGGGTGATTTTCAAGTTGGAGATCGATAACTCGACACTATTGGATTGCAGAAAATATCACAGAACAAGCATACCTCTTTGACTATAATCTAAGTACCATCATCTGATCCAATTTTTTAAAAATTAAATTTAGTGTAAAATTTAAATATTTAATAACAATGAGTTAAATTAATTTTTTTATTTGTCTGTTTAAGATTTTATTAGTCAAATTTAATTTAAAGTTTGTTTTTTTTAATCGATTTTTTCCTATAATTAGTCTTTAAGATTTTGTTAGACTTGTTTTTTTTTTAAATCAACATTTTTTATAATATTTTTTTAAAGATTTTTTATAGTTGAATTTAATTTAAAGTTTTTTTTAGAAATAGATTTTTTGGTTTGTTTTAAGATTTTGTTGGATTATTTTTAGTTAAATTTAATTTTTTTTAAATGTTAGAAAAAACTTGGGAATGCCTAGTTGGTAAAGAGATTTTCAAAACAAATCATCTCTTCAAGAAAAGACATACAATACGTGGTTAAAGAGGTGGTCATCTCTTCACCATATTGTGAATTAAAAAACAAAAATCAAACATGTAGCTAGGGTTAACAGGTCGTCTCTTCAAGAAACAACCTATAGCTGCCACTTCATAGGTTGTCTCTCCAATAGATGACCACCTATTTTTCAAGCATTATTCTTGGAAATAATTTTTTGGATGGTATATTTTTTAAATAAGTTTAATAATAAGTCATATTAAAAAAAATCCCTAAAAATGAGTCTTTTTCAACTCGGGGTAGGGTTTATGACATGTATAAATTGACTCCCACATATAGATTAATTAAAGACGTACCTGTTTTAAATTGTTCTTAGCTCAATTAATATATTAATTACCCACCCCCTTGAACTTAATTTAATTTTAAAAAGGTTCTTAGTTTTGAGACATTGATTAGAAAACATGGGTCATTCTTTGTCTGATGCCTTTATTAACAACCCTGTGTGTGTTGTCACTTATGCAATATTATTCTATATCCTCCACCCTTCCTATCATCTCCACACCATTAATATATATATATTTATCATCTTCATCTCCCTGCACAATAATGGGGTTTCCCTATAGCTGATAATGCATATTTTTCAAGCATCCATTGAGACGTATTCTTCAAACCAAGAATTTCCCTTTTCCCAAAAGATTGAACAAATTATTTTCATGCCCAAATGATAGCTAAATGGCATTTGAAAACCCTACACCTTGCATCCAAAGAAATTAAAATTAAGTTTCCCCATGCTAAAATGGAGTTGAAAGAGGGGTTGGACCTACTCCAGTTTCCTCCTTTCATCTTCGTTTCTTATCATCATCATTAAAGCAACAATTTAAATGCTGTCTCTCTGTCATTTCCCTTGGTTATGAAGTTTTACTTTACAAAAAGAGAAGGAAAAAAAAGAGTGTTAAAAAAAGGGTAAAGGTAAAAATTCAATAAAACCTGAGTTTAGTTTAACTGGTTAAGACATGTATCTTYAATCGAGTCGTGCGTTCGAGTCTCAATCTCGCATTTTGTTGTACTAAAAAAGCATATGGATCGAAATACTAGTTCCCTTCATTTTATTTTTCTTTAAGGTTTCAATCATTTCAAAGTGTAGGGGTTAGAGGTTAGAGGTTGGAAGGTTAAGTTAACTTGCTTCCTAATTTAATTATGTGGGTAACACCAATGTCTAGATCATATGATAATTGACTCAAACAAATAGTCTTCTTTCCTGACGTTTTCAATCTTAATTGACCCGTTTAATTAAGTCAAATTAATTCCAAACTTATAATATGTACCTTTTTTAATCTTGTTTAAACTTTGGAGTCAACCTTGCTTCTCCCCAAAAACTAAATTCCAAAACCAGGCATTAAAGTAATGATTAGGGGGGAGAAATTTTATATTAGTTAGGTAGAAGAAAAAGTGTGGGGAATTAATTAATATCGAATTAATTTTAAAAAAATAAAAAGGAACTAACCCTTATTGCTGATTTAACTTAACTATATGCTAATCCCTCTTTTGGGTCCTTCTAAAAGATTGTATTATACAAATTGGCTTTTTGTAGTGCTTCTTATTCCGTCTTATCTGCAACTTTTCTCTAAAATAATGAGGATTTGTTCAACCACTAATATAATATTCTAACCAGATCGAAGTTGGCTCATGTAATTATTCTATAATTTCCGAGACATTCCCTTTCTTTTTATTTTAATGATTAATTTGATATAAAATCTTTCCTATTTTATATTTCATCTTTGAGTTTTTGTTATGTTCCTTGTGTAATAAGAGTCGTTAGGTGATATTAATTACATAATGTTGAGTACCGTTATCTTACCANTTTATTCATGGGTATATTTCTTATGTCACGATCAAGATCCTATGTTATGCATATAGTTTTAGGTGAATGAGAAATGTAATATTTTCATTCTTAGAGTATAGGAAATGTAATAACAAATCTAAATTTAAAGGATAGAGAGCACATAAATAATGGTAGTATATGTATGGCTTAAGAAAAACCTTAAGAGCTCTATTGTTTTCTTTAATTTTTTATTTACGATGTTTCCTTACACTTGAAAACCTTTTCTTTTTAAGGTAAATATAACTTTTTTTTTTTAATTTTATTGATTTACAGGATCAATACTTAACTAAAATTGATGGAAATGAATTATAATAATCATTAATTAGTGTTTTGATTTACATTATTGATTATTATTTTATTTTGACTTTGGATAAAGTGCCGAGTAAGGATTTGATCAAATTCCAAGTTCCAATTTAAAAAAAAATGTGAGTAATGTTTTAACTAATTCACCCAGCTGAGATCAGAATTTAATTAACTTCCTGTTTTTTTTTTTTTAGAAATTTATTAAACATCCTGTTGATTGAAGTAAATGATAATAAGTAATTAATTTTTTTATTAATTTTTTATACCGTATTGAACTTCTATTATTTTGTATGATAACACAATTAAAAGTAGATAATATAGTCCATGATTGATAAACACATTTATATTCTTCTTTAAAGTTGAAGTTGTAATCCCTCCCATAAAACAGACAGTTGCCCTAATGATCTGGATTGACGACCCATTGGAGGCCCACGCCTGATTTCTGTCAAATCATCTTTAATGTTCACTTGGGCTAATTGAAGCCCAAGTTTTATTTGGATACGAGTTTGTAGGTTTTTTTAGGCCATTCAAAATAAGAAAATATCTGCTAATTTTTTAGGTACAAAATTACCCATCCATCATTTTTAAATAATATATTATTTATCATTTTTTATAGGAGAATCATACCTATATTTTTTTCCTAATGAATCATTTAAATATTTTGAGAATCATACCTGTATTTTTTAATTCAAATATTTTTCTAAGAGAATTATACTAACAAATCTAAAGAAAAAATATTAATTAAAATTAAAATCTAAAACAAAATAAAGTAACAAATGCCTGTCACCTTGCTCAATTCCCTTCCATTCTTATTGTCTCCCTCGTGATACCCTCCCACTTTGTGTGTTATTCAAATATATATTTAAAAAGTGAGATGGTTGGTTTCTAGAATCTATCAGAGAAAATGTGGGAAAGTAGAGATAATATAACAAGAAACAAGTTTGAGAATATAAGAGAGAGTATTATTTTGATTTTGAAAATAATAACTAAATAGAAAGGGTAACATGGTCAAAATCAAAATGGACATTAAAAAGCTCATTTTTCAAAACGAAGTGAAGACACCTACTATAAATTCTGGCGTATGCAACAGGCTTTCAGTTTACAAGAGCCCCAGCTATAAGTGGGCCTTCAAGATAAATGGGCCACGGTCAAATAAAACGCCGTCGTTTTAGCCCTGCAATATCCTGGGCCTCATACAAATGGTGGGCCTTGAAATTCCTAAAAAGAGATCGCTTTCGACTTTTACCCCAAACCTTCTCTGTTTCTCTCTTCTGTCGACAATGTCTTCGTCTTCTTCTTCCCTCTACCGTCGCCTCCATGGCCTCTTCAACCTCCCTCGATCCTCCGCCACCAAACCCATCAAAACCAACCCCTCGCCTCCCTCCTCAACTGCCGTACCCAAAAAACCCACCGCCGCTGCCGCCTCCTCCTCGCCCGGAAGTCCTCTCACCCTCGAACGCCGTCTCCAAAAGCTCGTCAACAAGTTCATAAAGAACTCCGATTCTGACCGCTTCCGCGCCAGGCATGGTATCTATGACTCCACGGTCCGCCGCCTTGCTGTCCATAAAAGATTCTCCATGATTGAGGATATAATAGAAGCCCAAAAGAAGTACGAGGACATTAGAGATGAAGGGTTCGCAATCCGCCTCATTATGCTCTATGGAAAAGCGGGTATGTTCACTCATGCTCGCAAGTTGTTCGATGAATTGCCTGAACTTAATTGCGAGCGGACTGTGAAGTCCTTTAATGCCCTTTTGGCGTCTTGTGTTAATTCGAAAGAATTTGATCAAGTTGAAACGATTTTTTGGGATGTACCGGAAAAGGTTTCGATAGAACCAAATGTGATCTCGTATAACATTGTTATCAATGCATATTGCGAGATGGACGCCTTGGATAAAGCCTTCTTGTTCTTCAATGACATGGAGAAGAATGGAATGGAGCCAGATTTGGTTACATTCAACACACTTCTAGCTGCATTTTATAGAAAGGGTCAGTTTTTAGATGGGGAAAACATGTGGAATATGTTGGAAAGCAAGAATATGGCTCCTAATCTCATTAGTTATAATGCGAGGTTGCGAGGAATGGTTCAAGAGAATAAGATACAAGAAGGGATCGGGTTGCTGGCAGAAATGGAGGAGAAAGGAATCAAGCCAGACGTGTCCAGCTTCAATGCTATGATCAAAGGTTTTTGTGAAGATGGGAATCTGGAGGAGGCGAAGAAATGGTATTACAAATCGAAGGAGAATGAAGCTACCCCAAATCGATCCACTTACAGGGCACTTCTCCCTCTCCTTTGCGAGCAGGGTGATTCTGATATGGCACTTGAACTGTGCAAGGAGGCCATTGATAATCGTGTAGTTATTAATGTAGCAGAGGTGCAGCGTGTGGTTGATGGGTTGGTTAAGGTTTCCAAGATTGAAGAGGCAGAGGAACTTGTGAAACTGTGCAATTCAAACAATTATTTAAATTTCAAATTGGAATTGCCTCAAACGAGCACTTGAGAGAGTTATTTCTGTGTTACTCCGGCTTCAATTTTATCCTGTTTATCAATTGATCCTTTTTTTTTCCTTTCATTTTCATTGGGAGATTAGATTAACGAAGATTCGAATGTATTTTTCTCGAGCTATTAACTTATTATGGAAACATGAACGAGATTGAGGGGTTTTCTGTTTGAGCCTTGGCATCATTGTCTTTTGTCTCAAGGATTTACAGTCATTTTTAATGCCACTAGAATGAGAAAAGAAGTTAATAAAAGAGTAAATTTCATTCTGGTTTTAATTGTGCTCACAATAAGTATGATACAGTCATAGCAAGATAATTGAGTTTTATGATAATACATTTTCGAATGACAGTGGACCTATATGAAAAAATAATTGAAAAAGGCATTCAATATCTCGCACAATTTGCTTTCAAGGCAGGTTAATCATATAGGCTAAGCAGAAAAGAAGCATAAGATAAGGTTTAACATATCTCAATTTGATACCAACGAATTCAACTTCTTTTCAAAGAGTTTGGCTCGCCGCAAAGCATCTAAGGCCTCAGCTTGCTTTCCCAAACGTTTAAAGTTCACTGCTTTCACCTTTTCTGCCTTGATACGTTCCTCCAGTTGACTTCTTTCTGAGTCTGTATTTTCCTTCTTATCAGTGCTGACCCTTGGAGGCTTTGATACTTCTTGATCCTGAGATTTGCTCGGAGTTGGATCTTCCAAACCAATAGCTCTCAGGGCAGAGAGCAGTTGAGGATCGAGAAAATCCTCAACACTTACATCTCCTGCATGTTCTTCTCCATCTATAGATGATTTTGTGGAGCCAGTTAACTGTTCTAACTGAGTCTCAATTGCCTTGGCCTTTTCAAACTCTGATTCGGCCTCTTGTGTTCGACCCTCTCTACGAAATTTCAATGCCTGTCGCTTGTGCTTGAGTGACTCCTGCTGCAACTTGAAGCGATCACGAGCAGACATTGGTTTCTGTTCCACATTTGATGGGCTAGACTGCTTTCGGTCAGGTGATGGTTTCTGTTCCCCAGTTGATGCGCTAGATTGCTTTCGGTCAGGCGATGGTTTCTGTTCCACGATTGATGGTATATACTCCTTTCGGTCTGGTGATGGTACATTGATGGTGGAAATTGACAAGCTTTTTGAATTAAGTTGAAGCTGACCATTGTTTTCCTCGAGTGATTTCTCCAGAAACTTTGCCTGACGAAGTTCCTCTCGAGCTTCTGACAGTTTTCCCTCCCTCTTCAATGCAAGAGCCTTCTTCTTGCGAGCCAAAACTTCTTGGCGTAGGGAACTTTCGCTGTTCTGAGAAGAGTCCTGAGAAGAGCTGTCTGCTTGACTACGTTGTTTTCCATCATAGTGAACTACATTGTCTTGCTTTCCAATACTGAAATGATCTTTGTTTGGAGCAGTAGAAATTGACTGGAATCCGTACTCTGTGGAAGGGCCAGCATTAGACAAAACATTGGAATGAGGGATTGATAGAGCATCTTTCTGTCCTTTACCTACATGAGGAATCCGATTATTTCCTGTCAAATATGTATTCACATTCACATCGGGTTGATGAGTGCAACTAAAAGCTTCAGCAGTTTTCTTACCTTCCAGAACATTATTTCCACCTGAAGAACCCAATTCTCTAACCGAGGCTTGGCGCTGCTTAGAATTTAAGTGGTCAGACTGGTCAAAATTCTGCAAACGGGAGTGAGCTGAATCACCTTTTGGAAATTTTAATCCCATAGAAAGATCTGGTACTTCGTCCTTCAGACCCACTGCAACTTGTTCTGATCCATTGCTTACCTCCTCCACATCCTGTACATGGTCGTGCATTTCATCTCCTTTCAATGCTTCAAAAACTTTAGACTTGACATCCTCAGTAGCATCAAGCACAACTGTTGGCTTTGGAGCATCCATTTCGCCCATTTCGATCTCCAACATCTTTGCCCTTCTCAAGATTTCTTCAGCATCATCAATGTCTCCGTTCCTTCTAAGGGAGAGTGCCTTTCTCTTCAAATTTAAAATCTCTCTCTGAATTTCACTTCTACTTCGGGGTGCAGCAACATTGATTGAAGAAGATGATTGGTTAACAGTTGGTTTTGCATCCCCTTTAACTGGCTTGACTTGCTCATTTAAAGGTTGAACCTCATCACCATTCCATCCCAAATTCTGTAGAACAGATAGTAAGGTCGGGTCGTTCATATCTTCCTCCGTGACATCACCATCATCACCTTCCTCGACCACCCTTCCAGAAGGGGCTTTGTGAATGTTCTCTACGTTCCCACTAAATTCAGTCCTAATTCTATCCCTATTTTCTATCTCCTCCATCTCTGCCTCTAAGGCTTTTGTCTTTAGCAGCACTTCATCTGCTGCCTCAGTCTCCCCTTGGCGTCTAAGAGTTAGAGCCTTTCTTTTCAAGCCCAAAAGTTCTCTCTGGACTTCGGTCTTTCTTCTTAGTGGCCTAACTGAACTTTTAGGAGCATGATTTTCAGATGACTCACTTGGTTGCACAGGAAGCAAATCATCTTGTTTGGAGGTCTTTGAAGGGACCAATTCATCATCTTTGTCATTCCAACCTAAATTCTTAAGAACGGAAAGATATTCAGGGTCATGCATTTCCTGATCTGTTACATCTACCACTTCCACATCTACCAAATTTCCATTGACGTGCTTAGAGAGCAAATGTGGATCCTTACTACCAAAACCAGCACCCACCTCTGTGCCGTTCCCCCTTGAAGCATCAGCCGCTTGTTCAAGCTGATGCTCTAGGTCCTTGCATTTATTCAATTCTTTTTCTGCCTCATCCAACCTTCCTTCCCTTCTTAAGGCTAGGGCTTTCTTTTTTATAGCAAGAAGCTCCATCTGAATAGCTAATTTATTTTTGGAAGGAAGTTTAGGATTCATGACTTTTGTTGCTTCAACAATGCCACCATCTGAAACAATGCTATCATCTTGAGAGCTAAAGTTTTCGAGGTCTCTCTCAAGCATCTTGGCTTTCTTAAGCTGTTCCATAGCCACTGCAGTATTACCTAAACGCTTTTGATTGAGAGCCTCTCTTTTCAAGGAAATTATTTCACTATTTATCGATTCCCTGGAAACAGACAAGGGTTGGGGCTGAATGCTTTTAATGTTATTCGAATCCTCAGTCCATCCTAATGTTTCTAAGGCAGCAGAAATTTCTGGATCTTCCATGTCCTCATCAGTCACTTCAAAGTTATTGTCAGACATGAAATTATTAGCAGCACCTAAAAGGTTTTCAAGATTGAAATCAAGATTTTCCTTGTATTGAAATGAAATATCTTTGTGTTTATTATCATCCAAACTACGCACCAATGCAGATAGCTCGTCATCTGACTCCTCCTCAGCCCCAGCCAAGAGTTCTTGCTCTTCAAGCTGCTTTTCTAGGACTTTAGCTTTCTTAAGTTCCTCCTTGGCCTCTGCTAGTTTGCCTTCCCGTTTCAACATTAAAGCTTTTCTTTTATGAGCAACAACCTGGGTATTATCAATGCTATGGACACTCTTAGCTTTGTCGCTCTTTTGTACAACTTCCCCAAGAAGAGAAGATAGTTCACCCTCTAAACTCATTGTCGCTGGTTTTTTATCCTCGTCATGAAGATCCATATCAGACCATCCAAGTTCTCTGAGTTCAGCATTAAGGTCATGCTTTTCATTACTACTTTCTGGCCTAGGCATCATTTTCCTACCAGATTCTTTAGAACCACTTAGATCTTGGTCTTCACCGATATTACCAGAAGTTAAAGCTTTTCTTCGGCTTCTTCTCATGGAAATTTCCAAAGCCTCAGCCTTCTGCTCGAGTTCTTTTCCTCTCTTAAAAGCTTTTAATGCTTCCTCAGATTTACCTTCTCCTTTAAGAACTTTATATTTCTTTTTTTCATCTGTAGCCTGCTGGCGCAATTGCTCTGGACTACTAGATTCCATATTATTCTCCAGATGATTAGTAAAACTACCGGATGCTTCTCCTTCCCCATCAAGGTTTAACTCTTGAGTATTTGAACTCTGTACACCACTGCTAGTCCTCCCAATAGTAAAAATATTATTGGCATTTGATTCTTGCACTGAAGATGATGATTCCTTTCTATCACTACCTAGAATCTTGGCTAAAATGTCATCCGCAGGCTTTGTCAACTTCGAGCTACCTGAATGGTAACATAATATATTTTTTTTAACACAAACTGAGAGTGAGAAAACAGAATAAATAATGACAAAAGATGTCAAATAGGGTATTGCAAAACTGCATTCTGCGCCTAATATACCACCAAAAAAGAGAGAGTAATTCATGTCAATGAATTGCACGTACAATGACTAGCAAAATCATAAACTTGTAGAACAATTGACTTCATGATATACCTCTTCCAGTTCTGCTTTTGTGTCCATGCCGAAGCTCAAACCTTGCAGCTTCTTCTAGCTTTTTGCAAGGTTCACATATGCGCACGGGCGAATCACCTTGCCCACGTAAAACCATTCTCTGCTGCGTGCAACTATTGCAAAATATTCCCCCGCACCTCCGACAATGATGCTGAAAACCAGAATGCATACGTATCAAAATAACTAACAAGTGTTATCAGATATCTTAAACAATTTAAACATCCATTATAAATAATTTATATTTCATATCCCGATTCTGAAATTCTTATTAGAATACTCTTGTTCATTAAAAGCCCGTATCCTGATTGAGCAGTCAACTAGATTTCAGCCCTAGTTCTCTTGTCTAACTAAAAGCAAGTCAATCCCTTTACGCTTCTGTACAAAGAAACCGTACATTTTGAGGAACAAAACTTGGCTTCATTATTTTCAGCTAAGAAAATAATAGCAGAAAATTGCACACGCGGAGCAAAATGGAATTGACTAAGATGAAACTATCACGATTACCTACTCAGTGCTTCAAAAGATTAGAAAAGAAGATAATTTAAAGATAAAAGTAATGCAAGACCTTGCGATTGATGAAGGTGAACTGAGAGGAACATCCTTGACAATGAGAAGCATCGACCACCCAATTGTTCCCTCGCAGCGATGGCCTGGCCGGCAATCCGATCTTCTCCAACATCCCGATTACTCGAGAAATTAAAAGGCCAAATGATATGGAATAAATGAATTCAAAGGAAAGATCTGCTTAAAGGCACCGCTTCGAAGATCCACAATCTTCTTTCACAATCGGTATGTGCGTTTTCTAGGACTGGAAGTTGATTGATTTTATAACGATAAACAAGTGGCAATCGGAAGAAGGAAATTGCAGAACAGAGAGGCCATGACGACGACGACTATGGAGCCAAGCCATGGATGAAGTAATTCCGCAAGGTGAAGGACTGGCAACGACATCGTATAGAACATGCCAACATGGTAAATAAGTCCCGTGTTGACGGCTGAGTTGACGGTCGCAATTGACGCCGTTTCGTCGTAGACCCGATGTATCTGGGCCTTGAATATGGGCCTCCACCTTCGCAAATGGCCCACGTGGGAAAGAAAGTCGGTCCAAGCAAGCATTTTTTTTTAAGATCATCTGTTGAATCTACCCCTAATATTAAAGTGGTGAAATATATTTTTCGTCCTAAGATTTGAATTTCGTCCGTAAGATTTGAATTTGATTTTATTGTCCCTGAACTTAAAAAAGCATCACTTTTAGTCCATGAAATTTAAATTGAGTCTTTTGATTTCAAAAATAATATTTTTGATCCAAAAACGTCATTTTATATTATTGAAATCTAAATTTGATCCTTAAGTATCAAAAGTGATAGGTTTGGTTCTTAAAGTTTGAAATTATATTTTAATCGGTCTTTTAGATTTGAGTTTGGTTTCTAATGGACCATTGAATTAAGTGACTGTTAGTTCACCTAACAAAATGATGATGTGACAGTTAACATATCAACTAGAGAACGAAAAATCTCTCAAATAATTCAATATAAACGTTGATAAATCTAGTTAGCTACTGAAAATACTTGTTAATTCATTGTAAATTAAAACATATTGAATTTGAATGATGAACGTAGAGGAAGAGTCGTTGTGCTATTGGAAGAGTGGAAGAAATGAAGTAGAAGAGAAAGGAGGGGAGGAAGAAGAGAAGAGAAAAATACCACTTTAAGGAAAAGAAAATAAAGAATAATAAAATTTGAATACACATATAACCTTCAATTAACATATGTTAGCTAGGGCACATGTCATTTTGTTGGGTCAATTCAGTAACCAATTAAAAATCAAATTCAAATTTAAAGATCAATTAAAAATTAACTTGAATTTTAGAAACCAAACATGTTAATTTTGAAACTAACTAAATTTAAATTTTGAAGTGAATAGATATTTAAGTCCAAACAAGTCTGGACTATGGATGTTCAAAATCAAAATAACCGATTTTATTCTCTCCTCATCAAATCAATCATTTTGCAACTTCTTTATTTTTCAAGTTTATTTCTTAAATAGCTCCATCTCGTAACTTTCCCCAGGAAGTTAATTACTATCATTAAATGACCTCTTTAAATACTAATTACTCCCTCGTTTATTGCCAACCTTTTTCCAATTAACCAAGCTTTTAATTCAATCTTCATTTCACTTGTCTTTTGTGCACAAAATTTAGGCCAACTGCCAAAATTACACATTTCTACCCTACCGTTTGTAAGTTACCACAAAGCAAGGCAGTACAGCTCTAGGATTGAAGACATGAAATTCCTCCGGGTTTGGACTCCGACCTGTTTCCCCACCCGACGAATCCAACCCGGAATTATCATTCGCTTCTTCATCTTTCTCCACGCCTCCGCCATGGATCCTCCCTGCAATTACTCTGCACACCATTAAGGCTCTCCTCAGGCCCTCCTCTTCTTCATTCACCACAATAGATTCCAAGGCTCTTCCACTCGTTGCACAAATAATCGCGCCATTAAACCCATGTCTTAGAACTTGGCAAACTCCACAGCTGTCCAAATCGCATAGAATCTGAGAGCCATCGGCGGCGAGTGGGCAAGCAATTCTTGTGCCATGGAACCCCAAGAGCTCGTTTCCATCGACTAAACAACGTGGGTTTTCCTTCTTCTTCAGTTTTCTTGCTTTGCTTTTCACCACTTCTCTGTGTTCTTCGAACAGAGAGAGAGTTTTCGGCGAGTTACGGACTTTGAAAACCTTCTCGATGTGATGGGGCTTGGACATTGCCCAATTTCTTTGGCAGATTAATTCGATCACTTTCCTGGATGAATCCCCCTGTACTAATTCCTCGACTGCAACATGAAAACTACTCCATTATAATCTAGAATTTGAGAAATAGAACAAGGAATTTAATCTTTCATTACCGGCATGCTTGGAAAGATGATGGGACTCAACAGCATCCGGGTTCTTAAAAACCACACCACATTCTTGGCAAATGGATTCATAACCATTGTTGAATTGATTAATACTGTCGGAAGTTGCAGAGATGGCATGGCCATTTCTTGTATCAGGCTTAATAGGGGCTTTTCCTGGGTGGGAAACAGAGGAATTGTCTGTTTTGATTTGAGCTTCAATTTCATGGATTATGGAGTGGAGAACTTCACTGGTCGCCATTGATCTCGAGCTGGAACCAGGGGATGGCTTCTCCGAGTGTCTTTTGCTTCCACAAATGATGTCTCTGAGGTTAGATTTAGACCTTAAACATCCAGACGGGTCTCGTTCTGTTCTTTCCTTGGCGATTGAATTGCCAATGGCTTCTGGTTCATGAACATCACACAGGAATGATTTGGTGCAGGATAATGATTTCTTCAGAGTGCACCAAACTTCTGGCATTCTACAATTCTGCTCCTCCACTGAAACTCCTCTGGTTTTCAATGGTTTCACCCTTCAGAAAATCTCTTGAATTTGTCTGCCACTGCAGTTTAAAAAGGAAACTAAAACCAATTTTTCTCATCAAAGTCTTTCTGTTTCTGGTACCTTTTTCCCTAATCTTCTGCAAATTCTTTCCTCTCTTGAAACACATACAAAAAAAATTATGTAAAGGAATTAATGGGGTTGGAAGCAGTTTTCTCCGCAAAAGTAATTTGCTTTATTTTGACCCTACATCGTTTCCAACTTTCCTAGTTTGTGGCGTCATTTTCCCTTGATACCTGAAAAATACCATGAAATTTTCTGGAATGAACTCCCGCCGCCATTTTCCCAATACAAGAAACATGATGAGAATAAGGGAATTGGAGGAACAAAGTCAACTACATTACACAGCCGCCACTTTCCTTAAACGACCAAACACATTCCAAACTAGTTGCAGAGATATTTTTCATCATGGGAGGCCAGATGACAGTTCAAACTAGAATCATCAATGGCCGTAAATTGTCTCGAGCAAATTTGAAAACAACATGCCCCGCAGAAAGAAGACAAGAAATGAAAACCAATGATCAGTCACAACAAGAAACTGATGCTTGGCCTTATAAGTAATGTGGATGCGAGGCATTATATTTTCTTATCTACCTATATTTTGAGGGGTGCCGACGCCTACATGTACTTGTTGTCTATTTAATGCATTTGCACCATTGGAAATCAATTGGAGGAATCTCTCTTGACACAAAATCAAACGACTCTCCAACTTGACGCTTTAGTTAGAATTCTCATAAGTTTCATTGATGAGGATCACATCATATGCAGTGGGATGTCTCCCAAAAAAAGCTCTGCTCTTTTAACTGTGTTATATTCCAAAGAGCTTTTTGATGCATTGGAAAGCTTGAAGAGAGTGAGAAAAGAGATGTGAGGAAGTTGCAGAAGGATACTTACTCATCTTGCTCTGCTGGAGATGCCCAACTTTCCTTGCACCCTGTGAAAAGAATCAGCATCTAAAGATAAAAGGAAGACGCAGGAGAAAAAATTTGGAGGAAAAAAGAAGCTTTTACAATGTTGTTACAGCTAAATCCATGGCATCCCGTATGAGTTTATTAGCCTGCAACGCTGGCCTTCCCTTTATTCGTATTCTCTCCTATTCTTCATCTAGCCCACTTATAAAGCTTCCTAGACAAACCATACGGCTCTTGCCTCTGATTCATCCTTCCACTTCTTCCTCCACGTAATCCTATTGAGTTTGTTCCATTTGTTTCTGCAAAAATGCAGAAAACTTATGGTCTTGTAGTCTGCATCTTGGTTATTGTTATGGATGTTACAGCCGGAATACTTGGAATTCAGGCTGAGATAGCTCAAAACAAGGTATGCGCTGGAATGGAAATTATGTACCTGACGTTTTTGTTATAGATTTGAAATTTTTTTCCCCACTTATTTTCTGTGCTTTGTGACAGGTGAACCATTTCAAAATGTGGATATTTGAATGTAAAGACCCCAGCTACAATGCTTTCAAGTTGGGCTTGGCTGCAGCCATACTGCTTGGCCTTGCTCATGCCATTGCCAACTTGTTTGGTGGATGCTTCTGCGTTCGATCGGCTGATGAATACAAAGGATTAACAGCTAACAAGCAATTTGCTGTAGCCTCGCTCGTCTTTGCATGGTAAGTTCTCAAAGTTGCAATTTAGGAGATTCCCCGAGCTAGATTCATCATCTGAAAATTCTCATAAACTGGTGAATCCAAACCTTGTTGACCCCTAACATTTTCGTAACGCTGATTGTATGATATTCTCATCAGGATTGCGCTTCTGCTCGGATTCTCATTGCTTATCTCAGGAGCAATGTATAACACAAGGTCGAGAAAATCGTGCGGTCTAGCTCACAATCGTCTTCTGTCTATAGGGGGGATTGTTTGCTTCATACACGGCTTGTTTGTAGTTGCTTATTATATTACTGCCACGGCAGGACTCAGGGAGGAGACAAAGCCACCGCCGCCACAACAGGGAAACCCTGCTGGAGCTACAGGCCACGTTTAGCTTGATGATCTTCTTCATGTTATCCAAAGAAAATGCATAAACTTTACATTTTTTTTTCCAGTTCTTACAGCCGTAGGATTTTGTCAAATTGACTGCTTTCAACTTAGCATGTTACTTCATGTCTAGTACTCCAAAATTTGGAAATAGCTCTTATAAAAAAAAATTTATTCCTCTTGTTCTGAGTGTGAGTAAATATATGCCTAACTTGATTGGGTGGACTCCGAAGCTTTTATAAGAGAAAATGTAGTAGTAGTATGCGACTTGGACATGGGGTTAAAAACTATAGGGACTTTATGAACAAAATTTTGTTTGGATGATAAATTCTTTAAAGTTATTTTAAAACTCGAGAAGAACCTTCCTGTAACCATGTTCTATAGAATTATATGTACATATTTTTTCGAAAGCCCAAAGTTGTGGAGGGTGAGAATGAGATCATAATAATCTGCAAACAGTAAAAAAGAATTTGATCAGACAGTTCTAGAAAACTATTCTAAAACAAACGCACCCATTCAGCACCTAACTGAACAATTCATCCAAAACAAGAAAAGAGAACCGTAATTTACACCTCCATCGAGTTCTTGCCTCAAATTAAACTTCGGGAATCTCATAATATTCACCATCTTTAATTTCCAAACCCCGCCAAGAAAATAAACATTCTACAAGCATATTATAACTACCCAAAAACCAGTAATGACAGAAGATACCTGATTAACCAAGGTGAAGAAATTATAAAGCAGATGTTCTTAGGAGAAAAACAGAAAAGTTCAAACAATATCAGTAGAAATGACATGAACACCAAATATATATAGAGCAAGGATTCTCAAACAGAAGTAGAGATTTAATTTAAACATGGTCTGTAGAAGTTACCCTAACATCTAGAGGATATTCATAAAATCAGACAACCTACAAGTATAACAATCAGTAAACCCTAGACAAAACAAGAACAAACACCTTGAACAAAATTCAGCTCTAAATTATCAACCTGGGAACTCATGGTTTTATACTTATCCAATGTCCAAAACGGAAAACCCTTACTTGTTGGACGACTTGTACGCCTCAAGTATCAACTTTGCCTGGTCCCGAATCAACTCCGTCCGCTTCAGAAAGAGTTCCAGTTCCGCCAGGTGCACTTTCTTCCACTCCTCCTCCAGCTCTGTTCTCTTTGATTGCCCTATTAACTCTAGTCCTGGCTTCAGAAAACTTTCCGGCAAGCCAACAGCACCCAAAGCCCTTTCGAATGCAACAAAACCATTCAAGCAGCCTGAAGGAATTTCGTTATCATCAATTTTCATCTTATCATCTTCCTTAGGGGCATCTGGAGAAGGAAGCAACTCAGCTTTCAGTGAAGCCAGTGACCTACTGGTGCTACCTCTTTGATTCTTCTTAGGAGTGCCGTTAGCATTAGGCTTGGGCTGCTCCACAATGGGAGTCCGAGCAGTCCCTTCACCGCCCCATATTTTCTTTGACAGTTCAAAGCCTTTCTGCTCGTGGGGCTTCGTGAATGTTGGATCTGCACCCTTCTTCCCTCTATCGGCATTGTTCCTATATTTCTTCTTCAGTCGACGAATCTTATCCATTAATTGGGCCCTGGTTACGTCGACGTGAAGAGATTTCTTGATGAAATCATGAAATGCATTCATATCTAGGGCTGGATCAGCACCTTTCTTGGTTGAATAATCAATCATGCCGTTCAGTATAGCTATCTCATCGTCCTCACTCCATAGTCGCTGAAACAGCTTCTTGGATTCGTCGACGGATTTCTTGGAATCGTCTTCCGCAACTACGCTGTCATCTGCGTCAGCCTCAGAACTCTTCTTTGCCCGTTTTGCATCTTTCGTCGTCTCACTAGGCCGCTTCAAAGCCGACCTCGCAGGCGTAGCTGACGTAGAAGGCTTGGATCTGGGCTTCTTCACCTTCGGAGTCTCTTCCATTGGCTTAGTGGCGATCGGCTTCACATTCCGTCCGGACTCAGAATCCGAATCGGAATCGGATCCGGAGCCGCTCTCCGAGGAAGAAGACTGAGCCTGAGAGTTAGTAGGTAAATCAGACTTCTTCGGAGCGGCTTTTTTCTCCACCGCTGGAGTAGAAGGTAGAGCAGAAGACTTCTTGGTTTTCGGAGCTTGAGTTTCTTCTTCATCCTCTTCTTCTTCAGAGGAAGATCCATCTCTGGAGACGCCTTCCTCTTCCTCGCCAGATGAGGTTTCTTCTTCCTCAGAGGAAGACGCTGCCGGTGGCTCATCCAACGGTGACGGACGTTTCGGAGCCATAATCGCAGACGGAGATCGGGGTTTCTTTCACAAGCTAGGGTTTGATCAGAAACAAAGAGACTGCGCAACAAATTCGGGGTGGTCGTAGTCAAAACCCAAGAAGTGGGCAATTGGACCCTAGATCGGACGGTACTCAATTTATGACCGTCGGATTAGAAGAATCTCTTTAGCAGTGGCAGTGTCAACCCCATTAAAAAGGATGATTTTTAAGAACCTGACCTGAGTATAGTTTTGTTATTTAAAAAAAAAAAAAACAGTTCAGCATATATTTTTCATAAAAAAACAACACTAATTTTCTAAAATCATAGTAAACTTTTTGTCTCGTCACTTATATACTATTTTTTTATTGTTAATAAAATGTATCATTGACATACTAAATAAATATAAAGTATATTATTGATATATCATTTATGTGATTTTTTTTTTATAAATATAGGGATCAAACTCATGATGTTTTGATTGGATATATATATCTATTACTGTTGAACTTGTTCACTTTGACATACCATTTACGTAATAAAGTATATCGTTGTACCAATATATCACTCACATACTATTTTTATGTCATTTATAAAGTCTATTAATAAAATACTAATATAAAATATATCACAAATATAATATTTTTGTCTTATTAAGACAAAACCACCACTGTTATACTATTTTCATATATTAATAGAATATATCACTAATAAATCCAATAGCAAGCATTTCACATATATAAGTTCTCATATTTATTTCATTTTTTATAACAAATTTTATCATGTAAATTTGTAATTATATGCCAAAGCGACTATAACTTAGTGGTAATTGACATATATCTCTGACGATCAGGTCACACGGTTTCATAAAACCATACGATTTTCCCGATCTAAATAAAACAGGTTTTACATGAATAAGATTTGACTCAGCATGTTCTATTCGATACGGGTAGGAAAATAACCCAACTCTGCTAAAACTGGTAATTTAACATATCAACATCATGGATAAAAATAGTGATATGGATTTATAATTTATTTAAAAGTGTGCAAAATTTTTATTGATTAATTCAAATAAAAATTTGAGCTTTTATATGATTTTTCATATAATTCATAATTTTATCAACCTTAACATTTGCATTAACATCTTTCATCCTATCATGCGGATATGACATTGTATATAGTAGTTTAAACATTATCTTCTTCAAAGAAATGTATGATGCTTTTATTTAACTATTTTTAGTTTCGATTTTATGCCGTATTAACTAATATGGTAACACATAGTTATATATTACAATTATTTGTTTATTAATGAGAAAGTATCGAAAACATAGTAAAAATTCCACACAAAGGCCTCAGTTTACCACCATCATTGAAAACAGCAAAAGAAGTCAAAATTCCATTAAAGAGAAAGAGGTTGATTATTCGCTGGAATTCAAGTCAACTTTTTCTTTCTTTGTTTTCTGCAGGGCTTGAAGTCAACTCGATAAAACAATATATAACGAATTAAATATGACAACAAAAAGAGGTTAATTACTCTCAATTCTCTCCTCTGTCTTCCTGGATCTCAGAAAGATGTAGATGCAGATCATCAAAACCCAGCAAGAAACTACCGATAGAACCATTATGATCACAATATGAACTCTGGTCTTCACATTCTTCTTCCCTGCAAAAACCAACGTTACATCCACAATTCACATTCCTCAGAGAAGAAAAACAAATGGAAAACACACCTACAGCCCGAGATGTCGTATCGGTCGAGGAGGGAGTGGATATCGCCATCGGCTGCCAAGTTGGTGGCGGCATTGGCCTGTCATCAGTAACAGTGTGTAGAGAACCACCTATAGAAGCTTTACTTTTCAAACTACTTAACAAGATTCTTAGCCTTGAAATGAACTCATTTGTGTTCGATATGTTTCTCGACGACCAAAACCTGATCACTGGACTAGTGTCCATTTGATCAGACAAGGATCGACTTGAGTAGTGTAAGGAGCAATTTTCACACCAACTGATTGCTTCTTTCTGGTGAGGACAGAGCTTTGTGAGCAGATGAACAGAGTCGTTGAGGCAGTTTTGACAAGCATCAAGCTTTATGTCTGCTCCACAAAGACCAACTGCATTGGCTGCGTCTGAGCTTTGTCCATAAGAGAATCTGTAAAAGCCATAGTCGAGTTCTTTGTCGGTGGCGATGGAGGAGAGGACACGGTCAAGGTTGGTCTTGAAGGTACTGTTGGCTGTGAAGCTACCGGTGTCATATATGCATAAGTGAGAGATGAAGCTTGGCTGGGCACTAGCTTTGGCCATCAATATCAGAAGAGTGGGGAGAAGATAGAATGCCATGGTTGTTTGGCTTTCATCTTCTCCCAAGTCCTTCCCCATTATATATCAGATTCATTTTCAGTTTGATATTTGCATGATTATTGTTATTAATGAAAGTTCATAATTGTCACAGAACCACGTTGAGTTATTCTTGACAGCAAACCATCAGTTTAGATAATAGTGGGGAAATTGGAAAAAGTACACAACAATTCTAAATTAAAACAATCATGAAGTTCAGAATATTCAAATCGAAAATAGAAAAAAGAATAAGCTACATGCACATATGCAGATAAAAAGAAGATCAGTATTGCCTGTTTACACCAATGTTAATTTTAGGTTGTTACCTCCATCCCAAGAAACTAGTAAGCTTTTAACATCAATGAGTTGCAGGCTGGTTTAGTGATTCTTCTTCTTCTTCAATATAAGTGCTCTCAGATCGGCTGTGCTGCGACCCTTCTGTGTAATCGAAATGTTGTGGCAAGTTTGAGGTATTGCTCTGCAGTAAAAATCCAGGCCGCAGAGGTACAGGAAGAGTCAAGGAGTAGCTATTGAGCATGAGAACAACTGAAGCCATGGTTGGTCTGCCATCTACATTTTCTTGAACACACGGTAACCCGAGATGGATGCATCTCACGATTTCATCACTGCAAGTTCTGGCCAATATTGGGTCTATGATGCTTGTGAATGTCCCTTCCATCCAATTTTTCCATGTCTGCATAGGCAAGTTTGTGTTAAACTTTGTAAGATAAGGTCATATCTTTTAAAAATATTCATACTTACATAGCTTAGAAGATGCTCTGTATTTTCCCCATCTTGAAAGCAGTTGTTCTTTTGGCCGCTAATGATCTCTAAGAGAAGCACACCGAAACTAAACACATTGGATTTCACTGAAAAATGTCCGTATATTGCATACTCTGGGGCCATATATCCACTTGAAACAAGAAAGATTAAGTTTAATATTTGTCTCAATCTCCTAAGACAGCATTTAGAAAATGCAGGAAGTGAATAATAATACGTTACTATGTTCTAAAACTTACTATGTTCCCTTAATTTTGCTCGTATCACCTTGAGAATGATTGAATGAACACAGCCTTGCCATTCCAAAATCAGTGATTTTTGGATTTAGCTCTGCATCTAATAAGATATTACTAGCTTTAAGATCATGATGGATGACTTTAAATCGAGAATCTTCATGTAGATACATGAGGCCGCGGCTGATGCCTACAATAATTTTGAAGTATATGACTGCTTTTAGCTAAACAGCCTTGAGAATGTGAACAAACTTTTAACTAGATCGGAAGTTTATGAAATGAAGCATGAGAACATAGAACACAGTTTAGATAAATACCAAATATGAATCGATCTAGGCTTGAGTTAAGTAAAAACTCGTAGATGAGAATCCTTTCGTTTCTCTCAAAGCAAAAGCCAAGAAGTCGAACCAGATTTCGGTGTTGCAGCTTAGCAACCAATATAACTTCATTCTTAAATTCTAAGTCTCCCTGTTGAGAACCTCGAGATAGCCTTTTCACAGCCACTTCTTGTCCATTAGAAAGCTTACCCTGAAGATACATAAACAAGAGACTCTTAGAAGTCGTCTACCCTGATGAGAAAAAATGCAAGACTGAAAAGAAACAATATGAAAAGGAAAAAAATGCAAGACTTTGATATTTTAAAATTCTTCTCTTTCATTCAATTACCTTATAAACAATACCGAATCCACCTTGTCCAAGTACGTTTTCAGTAGAAAAGTCATCTGTTGCATCTCTGATCGTCTTGAAGTCATATTGCAAGAAGTTAATGGGGTCATCATCACTAGCTTCACAAGTAGTGTAGTGACATGAGAATTAGCAATTTAGCAAAAATTCACTCTTTCAAGAGGATAATTATAAAAAAAGAAAAGGCTTTGAAGAAATTATATGATCCTTACTCTCAAGTTTTCCCCTCAACTTCCTGGATCTCAAAAAGGTGTAGATGCTCATGGCTAAAACCAAAAGAGCCACAAATGGGAGAACAATTATGATGGCCATTTGTGTTGTGTTGTTCTTCTTTCCTTTGGAGGAAAAAAATAAAAATAAAGACACATCTTATTCATCTAAGTTCTTGAACAAATATTAAAAGTATTAAACTTAGTATCAAAATGTAAAATCAGTTCAGAGGAATTTCTACGTGTAGATCGCTTAATCCTAGAAACATGAGAAAAATGAAACTATTGTATTAACAAGAACAAAGGGAACATAACCATTAACCATACCCTCGGAATACATGGTATTGGTTGGAGTGAATGCTAGAGGTGGTGGTGGCGAATCGGCAGAAGGGTCAAAGAAGCGGGAGAAGTCATATCTTACGTTACAGCTGGGCGTATAAACTCTTAGACCATCACTACAACATGGTGGGATTAATTTAAACGCTGAATCTAAGCAGGCATCACATTGTAGCTGAGACAAATCAGGTGTGCACTGTATAAGAGCATATATCCTCCCAGACTGTCCAACAGTTGGTGTATCTCCAGCAGCATACTTCTGTAAAGAACCACCTGAAGAAGCCTTATTTTTCAAGGTGTCAAGTAATGCCATAAGATTCCACAGTTTTTCCTGCGTTACGTTGCGTATGGACCATGCCAAGAGTCTTGGATTATTTTCAACCACACCAAATATGGTGCGACTTGAATATCGTAACATGCAGTTATCATACCACCCAATTGCTTCTTTCTGCGTAGGACATAGCTGTGTGAGAAAATATATAGAGTCATCAAGGCAGCTTCTACAAACATCAGGCTTCACATCGCCTCGGCAGAGCCCAATGGCATTGACTAAGTCTGAGTTTTGACCGTAGGAAAAATTGTAAAAGCCTTTGCCAGTATCTTTGGCAGTGGAAATGAAGGAGAGGACATGATCGACATTGATCTTGTAGGTGCTGTTGCTGGTGTAGTTCCCCATGACATAAAGGCAAGAATGGTAGACGAACATTGGCTGGGCGGTGCAAACTCTGGTAAAGAAAAGCAAAGTAAGAGCAAGAAAAAATGCCATATACTGTTGGGAATAACAACAGAAGAATTACAAAAAAACCATGACAGGAGTTCCCCTTTTAAGTTGAATCTATCAAATATTTAAATATGAGTCGTTAGGACTTTGAATGATCATATTAAATGTATGTTTATTTTTTGACCAAGAAGGTACGACTCTAAGCCTTAACTGCTGATCTTTTGCTTTGACTTTCCTTTATTTGTATAGAAGTTTTATTGTATGAAATACATTATATTTATGAATTCTGAATAGAGTACAGCGTCCGCCATTTTCAGTCAACATAATGAATTTCAGGTGGAATTCCCAGCAAACTTAGCGAGTTCGGTTTTTCTTAAACTAAGGTTGCAATTTAACAAAAGATATAATAATAGGATTATTTACCATGCAAATGTTTATACTAAAAAGAGTGCGCACACGGAGCTAATGGATAATCGTTAATCTTCATACAATATTGGATAGAAAATCTTCATTGTTAATCTTTTCAACCATCACAACGGAGCTAATTGGTAGGATGAGAGTCCGTTTTGCTGCAAATTGTTGAAAATTCCAAATGACCATATGGTTAGGAATTGATCTTCTGGAAGCCTTCCTGCAAAGAATAAAATGTCAAAGTTAAATGATTCCAGTCAATTTCATTGAACAGAATGTCTTTGGTTCTCATGATCTATTGTCTCTGAACTTGCCATCATGGCATAGTTATTTGAGCTACCCAAAACAACAGTACGATTCATTTCAGCTAGATGCAATTTCTTTCAACCTTCCTCCAGCATTTTTTTTCTCTCTTTAATTTCACAATCTAACTCAATTCAGGAACTTTTTGGCGAACACTACATGTGACATTAAATGGGTAATATTTCTTCTCGACTCGAAGAAACTAATAAATTAAATTAGTAATGATTACATTGAACATCATGAGATGCATTCATATCCAAAACTAGGTCGTCACCTTTCTTGGCTATATCATCAATCATGTCACTTGGTATAGCTATACCGTCGTCGTCACTCCATGGCTGCTGGAACAGTTTCTTCAGTTCGTCAATAGATTTCTATGGTTCATGGTAGAAATAGTGGAGCCCTTTCAAGAAACTGAATGGCCGTGAATAACATTCTACAGAGAATCATACAAAGGATTGTTGGATCATAAAGTTGATATATTATGTGGTGCATCGAAAATAAGATAAATGAAAATAGGGGAAAGGATCTACTTGAATAATTTAAGGATAAATTTTCATCCCAGCTGATTGCTTCTTTATGGTTAGGACAGAGCTCTGCGAGAAGGCGAATAGAGTCATTGAGGCAGCTTCCACAACATCAAGCTTGACGTCCACTCTACATAGACCAATGGTATTTGGCTACTTTCTCCGCAAGAGAATCTGTGAAAGCCATAGTTGACTTGTTTTCTGGCAGCTATGGAGGAGAGAGCACGGTCGAGGTTGGTCTTGTAGGTGCTGTTGGCTGTGAAGTTACTAGTGTCGTATATGCAGAAATGCTGAATGACTGGGCTCTAGCTTTGTCAATGAATAACAAAAGAGCGAGGAGAAGATAAAAGGCCATGGCTGCTTGGCATTGATCTTCTCCTCAGTCCTTCCCTTTCTTTGTATCCGACTCATTTTGAGTTTTATATTTGACTATTGTTAGTGAAAATTCGTAATTGTCATATCACAACATTGAGTTACTCTTGACAGAAAACCATCAGTTTAAATTATGGTAGGGGAATTGGATAATGTACTTAACACTTATAACTTAAAACAATCATGAAGTTCAGAATATTCAATTGCAAATAGAAGAAAATAAGTTACATGCACATATCCAGATAAAAAGAAGATCAGTGTTGACTGTTTACACCAATGTTAATTTCAGGTTGTTACCTCCATCCCGAGACACTAGGAAGCTTTGAACATCAATGAGCTGAATACTGGTATAGTGATTCTTCTTCTTCAATATAAATGCTCTCAGATCGGCTGGGCTGTGACCCTTCTGTGTAATCGAAATGTTGTGGCAAGTTTGAGGTATTGCTCTGCAGAAAAAATCCAGGCCGAGAAGGTACAGGAAGAGTCAAGGAGTTGCTATTGAGCATGAGAACAACTGAAGCCATGGTTGGTCTGCTAGCTACATTTTCTTGAACACAGAGTAACCCCAGATGGATGCATTTCACGATTTCATCAATGCAAGTTCTAGCCAATATTGGGTCAATGATGTTTGTGACCGTCCCTTCCATCCAGTTTTTCCATGTCTGCATTGGCAAGTTTGCGTTAAACTTTGAAAGAGAAGGACATATCTTTTAAAGATATTCATACTTACATAGGTCAGAAGGTGCTCTGTATTTTCCCCATCTTGAAAGCAGCTATTCTTTTGGCCACTAATGATCTCTAGGAGAAGCACACCAAAACTAAATACATCCGATTTCACTGAAAAATGTCCATATAATGCGTACTCTGGGGCCATATATCCACTTGAAAAAGAAAACATTAAGTTTAATATAGTCTCAATCTTCCAAGACAACCTAAATTTTTGTAGAAATGCAAAAAATGAATGATAATTAGAATTGTTTTCTAAAACTTACTATGTTCCCTTAATTCTACTTGTATCACCATGAGATTGGTTGATCGAACACAACCTTGCCATTCCAAAATCAGTAATTTTTGGATTTAGCTCTGCATCTAATAAGATATTACTAGATTTAAGATCCTGATGAATGACCTTAAATCGAGAATCTTCGTGCAGATACATGAGGCCGCGACTGATGCCCACTATAATTTTGTACCGTCTCAGCCAGTCCAAATATTGGCGCTGGATTGGATCTACATTTTCATTTAAGTATATGACTGCTTTTAGCTGAAGGGCATTGAATGTGTACAAACTTCTAACCAGATTGAAAGTTTATGAAATGAAGCCTGAGAACATAGAACAAAGGGTAGACAAGTACCAAATATGAAACGATCTAAGCTTGAATTAACTAAAAACTCATAGATGAGGAGCCTTTCATTTCTCTCGAAGCAAAAGCCAAGAAGCCGAACCAAATTCCGATGCTGCAGCTTAGCAACCAATAAAACTTCGTTCTTAAATTCTGAATCTCCCTGTTGAGAACCTCGAGCTAACCTTTTCACAGCCACTTCTAGTCCATTGAAAAGCTTACCCTGATGATATTTAAACGAGTGCAAAATTCTTAGAGGGTCTACCCTAATGGAACAAAATGCTAGACTTTAAGACTTTAAGATTGTTCATTCCCGTTCAATTACCTTATAAACGAGACCGAATCCACCTTGTCCAAGTTTATTTGAAATAGAAAAATCATTCGTTGCGTCTCTGATCGTCTTGAAGTCATATTGCAAGAGGTTAATGGGGCTAATTTCATCGTCACTAGCTTCACAAGTAGTGAATTTGTACATGAGAATTAACAATTCAGCAGAAATTCACTCTTTCAAGAAGGTAATTATACAAATAAGAAATTGAAAACATTAGGCTTTGGAGAAAATGATATGATCTTACTCTCAAGTCTTTCCCTCAACTTCCTGGATCTCAAAAAGGCATAGATGCCGGTGGCTAATACCAAAAGTGCCGTGAATGGGAGGACTACTATGATGACCATTTTTTTTGTGTTGTTCTTCTTTCCTTAAAAAGAGGGAAAAGAAAAAGAGACATCTCATTCTGCGAAGTTCCTGAACTATGTATCAAAAACAGTAAGATTTTCATTTTGAGAATGTATAGTATTTAAAAGAATAACTGGAACATACCATTAGCCATACCCTCGGTAGATATGGTATGAGTTGAAGGAGTGAATACTAGCGCGGGTGGTGGCGAATAATCAGAAAGGTCAAAGAAGCGAGACGTGTCATATCTAAAGTTGCAGCTCGGTAAAAAAGATCTCAAACCTTTCCTACAACATGGTGGGGTTGCTTTAAATGCTGTATCTAAGCAGACATCACATTGTGATTGGGACAAGTCAGGCGTGCACTGCAGAAGTGCATATATCCTCCCCAACCCTGGTCCAAGTATATATCCAGCTGCATACTTCTTTAAAGAACCACCAGAAGAAGCATTCTTTTTCAAGCCATCAAACAATGTCCGCAGGTTCTGGCTGAACAGATCATCCTGTGCTACATTGTTGCTTGGCAACAACATTAGTAATTTGGGGTCAACTTCCATTGCACCAAATATTGGGCGATTTGAATAGCGTAACATACAGTTATCATACCACCCAATAGCTTCTTTTTGCTTAGGGCAATTCTGCTTGAGAACATATATAGAGTCATTGAGGCAGTTTCGACAAACATCAGGATCCACATCGCCTCGGCAGAGACCAATAGCATTGGCTGAGTCTGAGCTTTGACCATAGGAAAAATTGTAAAAGCCATTGCCAGTATCTTTGGTAGTGGTAATGAAGGACAGGACATGATCGAGGTTGGCCTTATAGGTGCTGTTGCTGGTGAAGCTCCCACCGCTATTCCCGCAGACATGGTAGAGAAAGGCTGGCTGGGAGGTGCAAACTCTGACAAAGAAAAACAAGGCAAGAGGAAGAAAGAATGCCATATACTGTTGGTAAAAGCAACAGAAGAAATACAAAAAGAAAACCGCAACAGGAGCTTCCATTTTAAGTTAAAATCTATCAAATATTTAAATATTGGCCGTTGGGACTTTTAATGATCATATTGAAAGTCGTTGGTTTATTTTCTCTGACCAAGAAGATACGAATTTAAGCTTAACTATTGATCTTTGGCTTTGACTTTCCTTTATTTTGATACAATTTTTATTCTATGCAAAACATTATTTATGAATTCTGAATTAGAGTATAACATCCGCCGTTAACAGTCAACTAAATTGCAGGTTGAATTTCTGGTTCTGGCCAATTTAGCAAGTTCGGTTTTTCTTAAACTACAGTTATATAATAACATGAATCTTTAATAACAGGGTTATTTATCCACGTAAATATTTAGACTACCAAGGACAGTGCGTACAAGGAGAGAAGCATTTTGGATTCGTTGTATATTTAAGAACCTAATAACCATTGGAAAGATACAGGGCTGCTAGAATACGTACTAAAATTCTTCATTTTGAAGCTTTTCAACCAGCACAACTGAACCAATTGGCAAGATGAGAGTCTGATTTGCTGCAAATTGTAGTACTGAAAATTTCAAATGACCATATGGTTAGAAATTGATCTTACTTGAAAGTTGAACCTTCCTGTAACAAGAAAATGTCAAAGTCAATCAGTCTAGTCACTTTCATAGAATAATATGATATCCCTGAACTTATCATTCTTTGAGCAACCAGAAACCAGATTACGATTCATTTCAGCAAGATGCAATTTCTTCCAACCATCCTGCAGCCCTGTTCTCATGGATTTCACAATCAACTGGAATCCTGGCTTCAGAATGTCCGGAGAAGAAAAAAGCTTAGCTTTCCATGAACGCAGTGGAGTCCTAAATCTTCTCGACTCGACGAAACTTATAAATTAAGTTCGTCAATGGATTTCTTCGGTTCGTGCCCATGAAACAACGTTTTACAGAGAATCGTTTTGGAGCACAAAATTGGTACATTATGGGGTGGATTGAAAGAAGATAAAAGACTATTATTATTATTATTATTGACGGTAATTTGTCTCAAATCCACTTCGAGTTATTCTTAACTGCAGACCATTATTGGAAAAATGCAAGTAATACTTCTTAATTGAAGCAATGATGAAATTCAGAATATTCAAATTACAAATAGAAGGAAAAGGGCTAAGTTACATTACATGGACCAAGATCAGTATTGTCATTTGTCTGATTACACCAATGTTAATTTGAGGTTGTTCCATCCATCCCAATACACTAATGATTTTTTTATTTTTATAGGAAACAGAACCATACAATCAAGAACAAAACAGCCAAAAAAGAACAGTCTGAATGCGGAGGGTAGAAAAAACCCTCTCCAAAGAACTCTGCGTTCGAATCATGTATAATAGACGGTAATTACAAAAAAACCTTCTTGTGAATAGTAGACCACCAAGAAGTCATATGTTGTATATTCACACAAAAAGAACCCATCAAAAGACTTTTTATCTTAAAAACAGTCTACTATTTCTTTCTTTTCAGAGGAGCCAAATCAAGGCTCTCGCCGCACGATTCCAAAGAACAAAAGCTTTACGCACTGAAGACAATAATGAGCATGAAGATAAATGAGTTGAAAACTGGGCTGCTGACACTTATTCAATATAAATACTCTCAGATTGGCTATCGTGCAACCCTTCTGCAGAATCAAAATGCTGTGGCAAGTCTGAGCTATTGCGCAGCAGTAAAAATCCAGGCGCAGAAGGTACAGGAATAGTGAGGGAATTGCTACTGAGCATGAGAACAACTGAAGCCATGTTTGGTCTGCTAGCTACATTTTCTTGAACACAAAGCAACCCCAGATGGATGCATGTCATGATTTCATCAATGGAAGTTCCGGCCAATAATGGGTCTATGATATTTGTGATCGTCCCTTCAGTCCAGTTCTTCCATGCCTGCATTGGCAAGGTTGCGTTAAAACTTTGAAAGAAAAGGACATGACATGTCTTTTAAAAATATTCGCACTCACATAGCTAAGGAGGTCCTCTATGTTTTCGCCATCCTGGAAGCAACTATTCTTTTGGCCACTCAGGATCTCCAAGACCAGCACACCAAAACTATAGACATCTGATCTCACTGAAAAATGCCCATACAGTGCATACTCTGGGGCCATATACCCGCTTGGAAAAAAAAAACATTAAGTTCAATGTTTGTCTCAATCCCTGGGACAACCTAAAATTTGTAGAAGATGCAAAAAACTTACTATGTTCCCCTAATTTTACTTGTATCACCAACAGATTTAGATTGATTGAATGAACACAATCTTGCAATTCCGAAATCAGTAATTTTTGGATTCAATTCTGCATCTAATAAGATATTAGAAGCTTTAAGATCATGATGGATGACTCTGAATTGAGAATCTTCATGTAGATATAAGAGGCCACGGCTGATGCCTACAATAATTTTATAACGTCTCGACCAGTCCAAATGTTTGCGCTGGATTGGATCTACATTTTCATACAAGTATATGATTGCTTTTAGCGTAAAGGGCATTGGGAACGTGAACAAACATTAACCTGATTGCAAGTTTTATGAATTGAAGCCTAAGAACATAGAGCAAAGTGCGATGGATACCAAATATCAAACGATCCAGGCTTGAATTAGGTAAGAACTCATAGATGAGGAGCCTTTCACTTCTCTCGAAGCAAAAGCCAAGAAGTCTAACCAGATTTCGGTGTTGCAGATTAGCAACCAATAAAACTTCATTCTTAAATTCGGAGTCTCCCTGTTGGGAACCTCGAGCTAGCCTTTTCACAGCCACATCTTGTCCATTGAGAAACTTACCCTGATAGATACAAAAGTAAAACAAAAATCTTAGAAGCAATCTACCACGATTAGACAAAATGCTACAGTCAGACACTTGAAGATTCGATCTTCAATTACCTTATAAACAATACCAAATCCACCTTCTCCAAGTTTATTTGCAGTCGAAAAGTTATCCGTTGCATCTCTGATCGTCTTGAAGTCATATTGCAAAGAGCCCACAGAGCTAGTATCATCATCACTAGCTTCACAAGTAGTGTAGTGACGAGAGAATTAGCAGCAATTCACCCTTTCAAAAAGCAATTATGCCCAAGAAAAAAAAAAGCATTAGGCTCCAAAGAAAATAATATGGTCTTACTCTCAAGTCTTTCCCTCAACTTCCTGGAGTTCAAAAACGTGTAGATGCTGATGGTTAATAATACCAAAAGAGCCACAAATGGAAGAACTATTACAATGACGGTTTGTACTGTGTTGTTCATCTTTCCTGAAAAAAACGACATTTCTCTATGCTAGATTATTGAACTAGTTATTAAAAACAGTAGCTTTTCATTTTAAGAACGTATTAAAATTTTTACACGTAGACAAAGGGAACATAACCATTTAAATACCCTTTGTAGATGTGGTACTAGTTGAAGGAGTAAATACTAGAGTCGGTGGTGGCAGCAGTGGAGGTGGTGAATCAGAAGAAGGCTCAAAGAAGAGGGACATCTCATATCTTACGTCACAGCTGGGCGAAAAAACTCTCACACCTTTACTACAACATGGTGGGATTAGTGTAAACGCTGAATCTAAGCAGGCTTCACACTGTAGCTGAGACAAATCAGGTGTGCACTGCAGAAGCCCATAAATTGTCCCCAACCCTTGTCCAAACACATCTCCTGTTGCATACTTCTGTAAATAACCACCTGAAGATGCTCTACTTCTCAAGCTATCCAGCAACGTCACTAGCTTCTGCTCGAACAGAACTTCCTCCGTTACGTTGTCTGTAGCCCAAATGAAGAATGAGGGTCCAATTTCCATTGCACCTAATATGTGGCGACTCGAATAGCGTAACATGCAGTTATCATACCAACCAATTGCCTCTTTCTGCTCAGGACATCGCTGTGTGAGAAGATATATAGAGTCATTGAGGCAGCTTCGACACACATCGGGCTTCACGTCGCCTCGGCAGAGCCCAATGGCATTGGCTGAGTCCGGGTTTTGACCGTAGGAGAAATTGTAAAAGCCATTGCCAGTATCTTTGGCAGTGGCAATGGAGGAGAGGACATGATCGAGGTTGGTCTTATAGGTGCTGTTGCTGGTGAAGTTCCCTTCACCATACATACAGTAGTGGTAGACGAAGACTGGCCGGTCGGCGCAAACTCTGGCAACGAAAAACAAAACAAAAGGAAGAAAGAATGCCATGTACTGCTGTTGTCATTAAGAACGAAAGGATTACTAAAAAAAAGTCATAACAGGAGCTTCCTTTTAAGTTAAATCCAGAAAGTACTTAAATATTAGCTGCTATGCCTTTGAATGATCATATTGAACGTCATTGGTTTATGTTTGACCAAGAAGATACGAGTTCAGCTGACCTTTTGCTTTGTTTCTCTTCTTAATTTTTTAAGAAGTTTGAATCCACGAACTATATTATTTATGAATTCTAAATAAAACATCCGCGGTTAGCAGTCAATTTATAAGTTGCAGGTGAAATTTCCATCAAACTTAGCAAGTTCAGCTTTTCTTAAACTAAAGATAAAAATAAAAAATGAAATTTTATAATAGGGTTATTTATCCATGTAAATATTTATAATATACAAGGGAAGTACACATGGAGAGAAGAGAAGAATTCTGCATTCATTTTATATTTAAGAACATAATCATTGCAAAGATTGAGGACTGCTGGAATACGTACAAGATTGGCTACAAAATCTTCAACGTCAAGATTGTCAACCATCACGACCGAAGTAATTGACAATATGAGAATCTGTTCAGCTGCAAATTGCACTGCTGAAAGTTCCAAATGGACCATATGGTTAGGAATTGGTCTTACTTCTGGAAGCTTTCCTGCGAACAAGAAAATGTCAAAGTCCGGGATCAGTCCAGTCAATTCCACAGAAGAAAATGTGTTCGGTTCTGATAACCTAATATCTCTGGGCTTTTCATCGCGGAGAAGTTCTTTGAGTCATCCAAAACCAAATTATGATTCATTTCATCAGCAAGATGGAAACTCTTTCAATCTTCCTCCAAGCTCTGTTCTCTAGTATTTCACAATCAACTCGAATCCTAGCTTCCGAAACTTTCTGGCAGACGAAACGAGACCATTCAAGCATCCTGAGGAGACCGTTATCATCAATTTTCATTTTGCCAGTCTGAAGCCAGTGGTGGCCTATTTCCTTCTTGACTCGACGAAACTTGTAAATGAATCAATTAGATCCTAGTTGCATCGAAAATCATGATACACATTCATATCCAACGCTAAGTACTCGCCTATCTTGACCGTATAATCTATCGCGCCGTTCAGTATAGCTATCTCGTCGTCCTCTCACACCGTAGCCAGTGGAACAACTTTTGTCCATCCACGGAGTTCTTCGGTTCGTGGGAGAAATGTCTAATCTCACACCGTAGCCGCTGGAACAACTTTTTTCCGTCCATGGAACAAAAGGGATATACACAACTACAAATTCACGACTGTACTTAAAAAGAAAATTTAACACAAATTCCATCTACAAGGATGGCTGGCGGAGATGACGACAGTGACGAGACTTATCTGAGAAGAATGAGAGAGAGTTCTAATCATCCATGAATATATTATGAGAGAGAGTTCTAATCCTCTCCCAAGTCCTCCCACGAGAGTTGATTGGAAAATGAGGAAGAAAACTGGTTGAAATCTGCAAAAAAAAAGTCGCCTGTGTACTGTTTCTATTTGACAGGTGCTGGACTTTTTTGTTTTTTTTTTAAATTTCCAGTGATCCTTTTTTGAAATTTATCACCACACCACCCACTTTCTGCACAACCACTCTCTATACAACAGGGGATGCTTCTCGATTTCATCTATTCTACATTCACATTCATCCAGGGGAGAAACAATGACCAGAACAAGTCCAGTACCCTCTTGCGCTCCAAACAGTCATTCTGAAACTTTCAAATTTACTTCCATTTCCACAAGCCTTCTCAGAACATGTCTTCGTTTCTGTATATAACATCTCTCTACTTTATCATCCGGGTGTTAATTCTTTTGAGAGCTACCCCAAAAACTAAGGAAACTATGCTTCATTTCCTCCCTCAAACACCTTCTTCTTTGCCTTTGCCTTTCCCTTTACTGCTGCTGCTGTTGGTTTCAATCTCTGGATTCATAATCCCTTCTTGTGCCCAACGTTACTTAAACTGCTCAGGACCCAACACGGCACCCCTGCATCCCAATCTGAATTCTGATGTCAATTCCCTATTGAGTTCCTTGTCCTCTAAAGCTGCCTCCCACAGTTTCTACAATGAGTCCTTTAATGGAATCCACGGCCTCTTCCTCTGCCGAGGCGATGTTCCTAACGAAGTCTGTCGTACCTGCGTCGAGAGCGCAAGCCAACAAATGAAAGTGGACTGCTCTTCTCGGACAAACGGTACCTTATGTTTTGATGAATGTATGGTGAGGTACTCGGTTGAAAACATCTTTGGGACTCTGGAGACTGTTCCAAGAATACTGTTGTATGATAGTAAGAACAAATCTACTCTTGAAGCCCGTAATTCCATTGATCTTTCTCTGGTGTATAATTTAATAAGAGATGCCACAGAGGCAGATTTGATGTTCAAGGCAGGTCTGGTAAATGTGTCTGGTTCGGAAAATTTGAAATATGGATTGGCACAGTGTACAAGAGATATCACCAGGCGTGCATGTGATGTCTGTTTGAAAAATTTGGTGGATTTTGGAAAGGGATGTTGCCTACGCCAAAAAGGGTGGCGAGTTATAGCCCCAAACTGTAATTTAAGGGTCGAGGCCTACCGTTTCTATGACATACCAGGAGCTCTCCCTCCGTCTTTGCCTGCACCTGATGAAGATGGTGAGGGACCAACGTTTTTTAAGGTTGTGTTACAAGTTTAGTCTCTAAGCTTTCAGAATTTTGTCTGATAGTATTTGAATGTTTAATAGTGTTTAATATATCACTAAAGTAGAGCTCCGAACTTTAAGAAAATGTCTTATAGATCACAAACCTATTAGACACAAAATTAAAAGTTCAACAACAACCTATCAAAAACTTTTTAGAGTACAAGGACATGTTAGACACAATCCTTATAGTTAATAAACATGCCTTCTTTTTATTTTTCTGTCATAAATTTCTGAAGATTTTAATCTAATGATAAAAAGGGAATGCACAGGAGGGAACAGAGCAAGTATCATAGTTATCAGCATATCAACAGCTGCAGCAGTGGCAATTCTGCTTGGCCTATTGTACTGTTCTTTTTTATGGAGAAACAAAAGACCGGGTAAGAAGATTAGATTCTTACATAATTAAACAATACTTGTAGTATGAATTCCATTACATAAAAATAAATATGGTGTTCCATTCAGAGAGGGATATGAGTGAAGAGCTTCCTCTGCGAAATCTGGTTGATCGACAGCCAGTTAGCTTGACGAGGCAACATTTGGATGCAACAAATCAAGACAATGATGGAGATACAGATATTCATTACTTCAGTTTGAGTACTCTACAGATTGCTACGGATGACTTTTCGGATGCTAATAGACTTGGAGAAGGCGGGTTTGGTCCAGTTTACAAGGTTAATGAATCAAAAGTTTGATATGTGAATTTTCTACCACTATATCTACAATGTGTTCATTCATTGTGCCTAAAATGAATTCAGGGAAAGCTGATGGGTGGTGAGGAAATAGCAGTGAAAAGACTATCAACAAAATCAAGTCAAGGACATGAAGAGTTCAAGAATGAAGCAAAGGTCATCTTGAAGCTTCAGCATAAGAATCTGGTCAGGCTCTTGGGATGCTGTGTTGAAGGAGAAGAAAAACTTCTGGTCTATGAGTACATGGCAAATACTAGTCTTGACGCCTTCTTGTTTGGTTAGGCTCTTTCTCTCACATAATTTCATTTCAATTCTCTATACACCTCTTCCCAACCCCAAGAAAAAGGAAGAATCCATTTCATATGCTTTTACTGATCTAATTCCAATAGCAGATCCATTGCAGTGCAAACAACTTGACTGGCTCAAGCGCAAAAACATCGTCAATGGGATTGCAAGAGGAATCCTCTACCTCCATGAAGATTCTCGACTCAAAATCATCCATCGGGACTTGAAAGCAAGCAATGTACTGTTAGATGAAGAGATGAATCCAAAAATATCAGACTTTGGAACTGCCAGGATATTTGGAGGCAACCAAATTGATGCCAGCACCAACAGAATAGTTGGCACGTAGTAAGTCATATGCAGCAATCTATTCAACCATACAAATGCATATATAAGCAAGAAATGTACTGTTAGAAGTAAAATTCATGAATTCAGGCCCAAAGATATAGAAAAACTTATTGTCCTGACAATATACTAGGCTACTGCAGGTACTTTTACATTCATCATTGTCTTTCCTATCCATATCTCATTGTTGTAATTTTCAATCCTACAGTGGTTATATGGCGCCGGAGTATGCTATGGAGGGACTCTTCTCAGTCAAGTCTGATGTATACAGTTTTGGAGTTCTTATGCTAGAAGTGATCAGTGGGAGAAAGAACATTGGTTTTCTGAACATAGACAGAGCGCAGAACCTTCTGTCACATGTATGCTTCTGTTTCTAATCAAACATAAACTTCAAAACTCTATATCTCTCATTTTGTAATGGCTATTTTACAACATAACAATTTAACAGGCATGGGAGCTATGGGGCGAAGGCAGAGCAGAAGAAGTGGTAGACAAGAATTTGGCTGAAGATTGTCCTGTGGGTGAGGCTGTTAGATGGATCCACATTGGGTTGTTGTGTGTTCAAGAGGATCCTAACATCAGACCCACCATGTCAATGGTGGTTCTAATGCTTGGAAGCCAATCGATTCACCTTCCTCAGCCATCAAAACCTCCATTTCTTTCAGGTCGAGGGATTCTCATTGCAACACATCAATATTCAACCACTGAAACAGGGACAGGGGATGCTAATAGTCGATTCACCACAGATCAGTCCTCTACTACTGCTTCTGTCTAGCCATACCATTCAGTTTTTATGTTGCAATTTACCTTTTTTTTTTTTTTGTCATTCTTTTAGCTGCTCGTAAATAGGTTAAAATATCTTTTTAATCTATAGGGTTTTGATTTGTTCTGTATAGTCCGGTTAAATCTTTCAAAAGCCTCTGCCTTTGAGAGTTGTTGACAGTTTTTTTGACATGATAACAAGTTTTTGACTAAATTTATATATTCGTCTCTAACGTGGGATGTCTTTACAATTTGTTTCTTCATTTTATAAATTTTGTTTTTCGATCAAATCTTTACCATCACTAAATGTTAAAAGGGTAGTGATGTATGAATCTAAAAAGGGTAAATTGTGGAGGTTTTTTTTTATTATTATAAAATTTTATGAGGTTATCAATTGTTATTATACTAATATTTTTATGAGTGAATTTTCTATAACAAAAGATTCGGGTCAAGTAGGCAAATTTTTTACTTATTTCATCAAATTAAAATATATATTATTTTTAACCCAATTAATAAAGTATGTTATGTTTAAAAAATATATATAACAGTGAAGTATGTTATGACATTATACCATTATTAGCTGATCTTAAAATTTTGTGATAACTTGTCTAAAAAACATATTTTGTGACAATAAAGACAGTTGGAAAAAAAAAGTAATAAATAAGAGATGGGATTGAAAATTTTTAAAAATTACAAACCAAATTAAAAGAAAAGTCTAAGAAGACTAAACATATGTTTAGCCTAAGTTTTCTTTTATTATTATTAAATTTTTGACGTGACAACAATAGACTGAGCCGATAGCCTGACATAACGATGGTTTAATTAATGACAAAAAATAACAGCTACCTACAAAATGGAATAATAATAATAAAAAAATCAACCAATGAATAGTCAATTTGAGTCACTTTACTGGTTAACACATAATGTCAAAAAATAAAATAAAATAATAATAAAGACATATATCTCGACTAATATGTCGAGTATCTAATCGGCTATTTACCATGGCCACAACATCCTCTACTTCTCTGGTAAATCCAAGGCGTTCCTCTACTTCAATTGTGACATGTACTTACTTTTGTAAACAGCATTTAATGTGCGTCGCCACTTCTGAAAGTTTCAATTTTGTATTAACCCCAACAGAGTACCATTACATGATGACTCGGTCTGCAAATAAATGCTGAAAATTACATCCAAGCAAGTGGCTCTAAACGGTTTCCTCTGAATAATTGTACAGGTACTCGTACTAGAGATATTTCAATCGTCTGTTTTTATCCATTTCAAGAACAAGTTCTGTTTCCTCTTTATCTGCTACTCCCAATCCCAAATCATGTTCTGTTTCCTCAATTTCAGAGCTTCCCTATTGACGTTGCTACTTCTGATCTCAATCTTTGGGTTCAGCCGCTCCCATCATTTCGAACCAAGCTATAGGTTCCACATCTGTTCAAGTGATAGCGCAGCCAATTTTACTCTGGGTTCGGACCTCAGCGGCCTACTGAGTTTGCTATCCGAAGCTTCCTCCGACAGCTTCTACAACAGAAGCTTCAATGCAATGCACGGCCTCGTCCTCTGTCGAGGAGATGTGCCCAGCGATAACTGTCACAGTTGTGTCAGTGCTGCAAGAAAAGACATAAGAGATCGATGTCCTTCAAGAGTAAACGCCACAATATGGTACGATGAGTGTATGCTGAGATACTCAGACAAGAACTTCTTGGGGACTGTGGAGATATCGCCGAGGTTTCTCATGGGCGATTCCGGGAACCAGACATCACCGGATGATCGGAATATGGATGGACCTGCCCTGTTGTCTCAATTGGCGAGGGAAGCCGCAGGGTCAGAGATGATGTTTAAGGCAAACAAGTTGGATGAACGCGGGACACGCTATGGATTGGTTCAGTGCACAAGGGATCTCAACAGTAGCGAGTGTGGTACATGTTTGACGGCTCTGTTGGAGGAGATCAGGCAGTGTAACTTCAAAGAGAGGGTGGGGTGGAGAATTTTGGGCCCAAGTTGTAACATAAGGTATGAGCAATATCCTTTCTATCAGCAACAAGCGTCGCAGTCTCAAGGTGATTCAAATGCAACTTCTTTTACATATTTTAACGTTGTTTGCATTCCTAAACTGATTCATTTCTTTCTACTTTATGCTCTGTGCTGGGATCTAAACATAGTTTCACACCAACTAGAAGTATAATTTTTTTTTTTATTACATCTCTATTGGTGTGGAACCTTTTAAGATAATACTTAGACTAGGAGTGAACAATATCATATACCATTAACCTAAGTCCTAACACCATGAATTTATGAAAGGAATGAATAAAACTTGTGACTGAAAACTAAGCAAATGAGTTGAGTATGGTGAGAATATAAAAAAGAATGTTCTCTTAAAGTAGGGTGAGAATATAGTTTTTAAGGAAAGGTTCCTTTTTCTCAAAGTGTCATTTCCCTGTTTGCTTATTTCTTCCACATTTTATAATTTTGTACTAAATCTTAAAATTGTTGTCTAATGCATAAACAGGATTGAACACGAAAATGATCATAGTCATTACTATATCAACAGTTGCAGCAGTAGCAGTTATATCCGGTCTATTGTATTGTTTACTTTCATCCAAGAAGAGAAGACAGGGTAAGAAAACCGAATCTTTTGCATTAGACTGCACTTGTAAAGCTTTGATTCAAAGAAAATACTATGATATATCACATTCATACATCCTGATCCAGAGATGGATACAGGTGAACAAGTTCTGTTGAGAAATTTGGGAGATGCGAAGTCTGCACAATTGATGAAGCAAGATTTGCATTCAAGAGACGGAAACAATGATGAGGAAATGCATTACTTCAGTTTCATTACCCTACAGGCTGCCACAAACAACTTTGCAGATGAAAACCTACTTGGAGAAGGCGGCTTCGGTCCAGTTTACAAGGTTAACTACTGAATTCAAGATTGAATATATGGGAATGGTTTTAGGATATTATTAAGTATTTAAGAAGCCTTTAGACCACCAATGATATGGCAAAGAACAATAAGCTTGTCATTTGCTCACTCAGAACTACATATTTTAGCTCTCTCTGTAGGTGGATTGAATTGGAAATAGACCCTTCACATATTGAAAATGTGGCTGCTGTAACTGTTCGCTGTTTTTCTCCTGTCTTCTAAGTTTTCAACACATCCAGGGAAAGTTGATCAACGGGACAGAAATAGCCGTAAAAAGACTGTCGTTAAAGTCGAGTCAAGGTCACGACGAGTTCAAGAATGAAGTCATGGTCATAATGAAGCTTCAACATAAAAATCTGGTCAGGCTTTTGGGTTGCTGTCTGGAGGGAGAGGAAGAGCTTCTTGTCTACGAGTACATGGCTAACACTAGTCTAGATGCCTTCTTATTTGGTTTGTTTAGTTTCCATTCTCCATAAGATTTTTGTTCTACTGGCATTAAATAAAAAAAGGACCCTTCTCAGTAAATTTCATCTCCTGTTCTTGATACTGCTATACAGATCCAGTTAAATGCAAAGAACTCGATTGGGTTAAGCGCAACAACATCATCAACGGAGTCGCAAGAGGAATCCTATATCTACACGAAGACTCTAGACTTAAAATAATTCATCGGGATTTGAAAGCTAGCAATGTGTTGTTGGATGATGAGATGAATGCAAAGATATCCGACTTTGGAACCGCCAGAATTTTCGGAGGCAAGCAAGTTGAGGCAAGCACCAACAGAGTTGTTGGTACTTTGTAAGTCATTAAGCATAAGATACTTGAATGCATGGTACAACCGAACAATATCGATATGAATCAATTCGTTGTCATTATTTGCATCTAATCCATTTTCACTGTCATTCTAATCACATCTACAGTGGATATATGGCACCAGAATATGCAATGGAGGGAGTGTTTTCTATAAAGTCCGATGTCTACAGCTTTGGGATTTTAATGTTAGAAGTAATAAGCGGGAGAAAGAATAGCGGTTTCTTCAAAGTCGACAATGCAAAAAATCTTCTATCGCAGGTAAGATTCTTTCCTAGTCTATGGAACAAAATCAATTTCTTAGGTTTTGTTAGGGCAAGGATTTTACAATAGAGAGCAATTGAACTGAATCAGGCATGGCAACTATGGAAGGAAGGCAGAGAAGAGGAGATGGTTGATCCGAACCTGGTTGGAGATTGTTCTTTAAGCGAAGCTCTGAGATGGATCCAAATTGCGCTGCTCTGTGTACAAGAAGACCCCAACACCAGACCCACCATGTCAATGGTTGCTCTAATGCTTGGAAGCAAATCGATTCGCTTTCCTCAACCGTCAAAACCTCCATTCTTTCCGATTGGGTTCCCGATGTCCGCCGATCAATCGTCAATGACTTTACCGGGGACGGAATATTATCTCTCCACTCAATCGTCTACCACTGCTTCTATATAGCCGTACGCTTCACAAATCTGAAGAATATTTCAGCTGTGTCTGCTGATCATGAGCGGCAACCCTGATGCATTACTTTAGAAAGAAAGAAAGAACGTGCTTGTTTATGTTGTTATGTTTACGATTGAATTACAGTATTACACTGTTCAAAATTAGAATGGGTTCAAGTTCAACGTCACTTTTTTTTTTTTTTTTTTAACAACCTTGCGTTTGAAATAGTAGAAAAAGGAGAAAAAAAAACCTTTAAGTTAATTAATAACATTTTATTAGGGTAATTACAGAATTACTCCAAAGTATATACACCTAATGTGTAAATTTATGACAGTTGTAATGGTAAACTACACTCAGTCTTTTGCGGCTCCTCTATTTTACAGTCGCTCGTTACCAAGTTCCGTAGAGATCAAATGTGTTCCTTTCTTTTTCTTGTTTTTTTATTTCTCCCATTCATCACATTCCAAAAATATGGTAAAATTGGAACGAGGTAACTTTAATTTTAAAATCTCGTTAAATTCGACCTATTCTCTATTTGGTCGCCTAGCTTTCTGAGTATCTCTTTCTCTAACCCCCAACATGGTATAAATCAGGATGTTTTTTGTCGAAAAATTGATAGATATTACTTAAAAAAAAATGAGACCCACCCTTGTAAAACTTACTTTTCTGACCTAATAAGTACTTTTAAAAAACGTTACAACATATGAAAGGACTATTATGTCTCTTTTCATTTTCTTTCTCGATCTCTTCTCTTGTTTTACAGTTTTCTTTCTTCTCCTCCTATTTTTTGGTTTTGATTTTTGCTACTTTCTTTCGATTCAAATATGGGTTGAGGATGATTTTTTTAACATTATTTAGGTTGGTTGAAATTAAAATGTACATAGATCTTGAATCCATATTGCATAAATATCAGGCTCCTGGTTTTTATTATAATTTGGGTTAGTTGAAATTAAATGGATAAACATCGTGTTTGAATCTTGCTAAAATTGAATGAGTTTGAAGAAAACTCGCTCGGAATTCATGTAAAATTTGGACGAGTTAAAAAAACTTTTCCTCTGAGCAGTTCATAAAATAAAAAATAAAAAAAAAATTGATAAAGCTAATTAATCTAACCTTCCTTCCCAAATCCCAACTAGTGATTTGGGTTTGGCAGTGCATCGAATTCATCAAATAACATTGGAACTTAATCAACTTTCTTTCTTCTCCCAACAAATGATGGGAATGCTAAATTGTTGGAGGCGCGTATTGAGAGGGCGGAGAGAGGAGTGACTCATACAGAGGGTGGATCTCATAATTGATTTGACAACTAGTGACAACCAATCTGGCCCCTATGCTGCCGCTACAGCAACTGGGAAGATTACTCTGAAGCCGACTGAGGCACACATCACAGTCGAAGAACGACATGTCGGGAAAACAATCAACAAGCCCATATATGGTATACGTATTCGGAGCTTCAAGCCTCACATCTCCGCTGGCGGACTTGCGAATAGAACTCCCTGACGCAGCCCTGTCCCGCAGCCCATCCAGCAACTCCCTCAGTTCCTCATTGAAACCCTTCGCGTCTGGGGCTCTACCGGTGTTGTATAAAATGCGGGTCGCCCCTGAAATGGATATCTCCCCATGGACGGAGTTGTTTGAGTAAACAATCTGGCAATTCCCGTACCATCCAGTGCCTTCCTTCTGGGAAGGGCAATTTTGTAAAATCCTCCGGACCGAGTTACTCACGCAAATTCTGCATTGTTCCAAGGAAACGCCTCCACGACATAGCGCCTTAACGTTGGCTCTGTCGGGATCTTCGCCGGAGGAGGCGTTGTTGAAGCCGTAGTCAACTACCTGAGTGCTGGATTTGGAGGAGATGGTGGCGAGTGCGCTGTTCAGATTTCCCCTGAAAGGGCTGCTGTTGCTGTAGTTGCCAAATTTGTCTGAGCATTTGCTAAAGAAAAAGTCCGGCTGAGAAACCGTGCTCAAAATCAACTGTGAGAGAACCAAGGAGATAAGGAAGAAAAGCGTTGTGGGGATCTCCATTTTTGTTGGGTCTGTCAAATCAAATCCAGTCGGTTTTTGAATCAAAACATATATAGAAATTGGAAGAGAGAACCTACGCTACGACCCACTTGGAATTGGCATAGTCTTGTTGAGTTCCGTATTTAATCACGCCACCTTCCATTGGAAATTTCTGAGAGGAAAATTGAGACTGCTATTTTCGTGTCGTGAGACCAGTCCACAGTCTTCAACCACTTTGTGGAAAATTTTTCCTTACACCTTGTTCTTATAAATTTTCCCTTAGAAATCTCTCAACAATATTTCTAGAAACTCAATTTTTTAATACAAATGGTTTAAGTAGAAACAACTTCAATTTAATAACTTCAACATTTTCAAAATCTAAGTAAAATTTTAAAAATTAATAAAATAATTTTCAAACATTTGTTCTTCTTTTTAAATTTGGGTAAGAATTCAATGTATTTATAAGAATGGTGAAAAATATACTAATACAATTGAGAAGTTGATATAATTTTTAAAATCTAAAAACTAACAGGGATAGAGCTTGCTAATTGAAGCTTCATTCCTAGAAATTTGAAGAGGTGTGGAATGACTAGGTCACTGATTCGTTTCCAACCTATGATGTTCTAAAAGTGCATTGGACTCACCATTGTTGCTGTGCACGAAGAATGCAGGTTTGGAAGGTCTAGAGAGAGTGAGAGAAAAACTACTAAACATCGAAATCATTGAACTTATTGTTGGTCGCTTTACTGCATCCTCTTGAATGCATAGTAGTGCAACATGAATGGATCTTATCATTTCAATATGAGAACCATCGTTCAGTGTTGAATCTATCACATTTGTCAAGCCCTCCAATTTTTTTTATGCCTACAAAAAGTTAACAAGAAAATTATATAACATTAGCACTTAGCAATATGTTAAACTGTCCCTTGATTACTAAACATATGATATTATATGATAGGACAAATCAACTACAAGCCAATACGGCGTGCATAAGTTTTATGGGTGAAAATTTTCATTCATATACTTACAAAACTTAAAAATATCCTCGCTATTTGAATCTTCACGATGAACACAAAAGTTCTCTTACGGCCATTCAAAATTTCAAGAACTAAAATACCAAAATTAAAGACATCAGATTTTACTGAAAATTGCTCTTGAATTATAGACTCTACTGAAGAAAAAAATTAACTAAATATAATGTGTAAAGGGAAATGAATACAATTTTGAATTTACTGGGTTCCCCAGCTCTATTTGTGTTCCTTCGAATCTCATCCCCTCGAACAATCTTGCTGTGCTAAATTAATTTGCAATTTTTGGATTCAATTTCTCATCCAACAAGATATTGCTAGCTTTGAGATCACAATGAATAATTCGAAGACGATAATCTTCGTAAAGGTAAAGAAGTTCTCGTGCAATATCAATAATTATAATCTTCCATCGTTTTCTCCATTCTAGAAGCATTTTCTTCCCAACATCCATATATAATAATTTTGTCAATTATGTATTTATCTATTTTGATATTCAAGAAGGTTTGATAACTACTTCATTTTCTATATATTTTTTTTTTGGAAAATTCTGACACAATCATTTTCCTGAGACGAGCCCAGTCTTCAACAACCCTTACAGAAAATTTTGCGAGTCATTAATGAATACTGTTATGGGTCAACTTTAAAACTGTTATTAAATACTTATGGTGGAACATACAAGAGAAGTTGGCTGTCCTGAATTTCTGAAAAGAATGAGTCAAACTTGGGACAGAGAACCGTACCCCCAAGCAAATGAGTTGTGTGGTGAGAATGTAAAAGATAATGTTCATTCCCAAATCCCATCTATAGTGATTTGGGTTTGGCAGTCCATTGAATTCATCAATGTTATTATTGAAAATTAAGCAACAACAAATGATGGAAAGATCCTAAATCGGGATGACAAATTGTGTTGGAGGTGAAGATTGCACGGTCGGAGGCGGAGAGAAATGAGTAATACAGAGGGTGGATCTCATAATTGATTTGACAACTAGTGGCAATCAGTCTGGCCCCTGTGCTGCCGCTGCAACAATTAGGAATCTTACTCTGAAGCCGACTGAGGCAAACATCACAGTCCAAGGACGACATGTCGGGAAAACAATCAGCAAGCCCATATATGGTATACGTTGTATTCGGAGCTTGAAGCTTCACGTCTCCGCTGGCGGACTTGCGAATACAACTCCCTGACGCAGCCTTCTCTCGCAGCCCATCCAGCAGCTCCCTCAGTGCCTCGTTGAAACCCCTCGCGTCTGGGGCTCTATTGGTGCTGAATAAAGTCTGGGTCGCCCCCGCCACAGATATCTCACCGTCAATAGAGTTGTTTGAGTAAACAATCTGGCAATCCCCGTACCATCCCGCACCTTCCTTCTGGGAAGGGCAAGTTTGTAAAATCCTGCGGACCGAGTTACGCACACAAATTCTGCATAGTTCCAGGGAAACGCCTCCGCGACATAGCGCCTTGACGTTGGCTCTGTCGGGTTCTTCGCCGGAGGAGGCCTTGTAGAAGCCGTAGTCACTCACCTGGGTGCGGGTGCTGGATCTGGAGGAGATGGAGGCCAGTGCGTTGTGGAGATTTTTCTTGAAAGGGCTGTTGTTGCTGTAGTTGCCAAATTTGTCTGAGCATTTGCTAAAGAAAAAGTCCGGCTCATAAACTGTGCTCAAAATCAACTGTGGGAGAAGAAGAACCAAGGAGATGAGCAAGAAAAGCGTCGTGGGGATCTCCATTTTTTGTTAGTCGGTTTTTGAGTCAAACATATACAGAAAAAGGAAGAGAGAACCTACGCTACGACCCACTTGGAATTGGCATGGCCTTCTTGAGTTCCGTATTAATCACGCCGGCTTCCATTGGAAAATTAAGACCGCTATTTCGTGTCGTCACGTGAGAGCAGTACTCCACAGTCTTCAACAACTTTATGCAAAAATTTTCCTTAGACCTTGTTCTGTTGAATTGGTCCGCCTATATTACTTAACCACTAACCATGACATTAACCACCAAACATAATTCTCTTCAAAAATCAAACTTGCATCTACTATCTCACTACTTAAATTTTTTTTATTGTTTACTTAGTTCAAAACATTTTCAAAATCTAAATTAAATTTTAAAAACTAATAAAAGTAATTTTTAAACCTTTATTTTTTTTCTTTTGAAATTTGTCTAAGAATTCCATGTATTTATCAGAAATAATTGAGAAGTTGAAATAATTTTTAAAAATTGAAAACTAAAAATGAAATAGATATCGAACAAGGTCTTAATTTATTAATAAGCCATGACAAACTAATGTGATGATAGACCAGCTCACTGATCGAAGTTTCGTTCCTAGAATTTTGAAGAGGTGTGCTTTTAGAATTACTAGGCCGATTTGTTTCCGACCTACCATACTTTGAAAGTGCATTACCAATGTTACTGTGCATGAAAAATGCAGGGCTCTTGAAGGTCTCGAGGGAGTTATCAGAGAAAAGCTAAAGCTATTGAAAAAAAAAGTGTGTTATTTGAAAAAACTAAATGTAGTTGTTATTTTGTTAATTTTAGTAAATATTTTTGACATATTTACCGTTGTCTCTTAAAATTAATTACTAAATTGATAATTTTTCTTCCAAAGATCCTGCAAACAAGGATTCTTCAACACGAACCTTGATTTTCGGAGTCAAAAATGGGGTGGGGGTGGAGATTAAAATAAGTCTCACCCCACCTAGTTGTATTCTCTACTCTATATTACATTTATTTATTTTTTTCTCCACATGTACTAAAAAATGAAAAAAGGATACTTTAGAAAATTTTGCATTAATTGATCATCACCAACTCTCATTTTAACCTTATTTAAAATTACCCTTTAACTTAAGTAGTGCAATTTGAATAAGTAATGTAATTACTTCCCTCCATTGGTTAAGTTTTTCATTTTTGTTCTAAGATTGTGACTACGTTTTCATCGGTTTTTTTTTTTTTCGATTATTGGTTTTTTTATTTTAATTAATTAATTAGATTTGGATATTCTACTACTAAATTTTATTTTACCTTTTCTATCTTCTTCAATATATGTTTTGGAAAACAAGGTGGAGACTCTTCTGACCAGAAATTTAAACACGATTTTACATTTATCCTATTTTCACTCCTTAATTTTTATCGCCTCACGCAAAATTTAATATGATTTAGGAATTTTAAATTTTGAATTTTATATTTAATAGGTTTATGATTTTTTTTTAAATGTCTAATAGATCATGCATTATTAAAAATAAAATTGAAAGTTTATAAAGTTGTTAAACAACTTTAAGACAGATTTAGTATTAGGCACAAAGTTAAAATAAGTTTTTTAAAGATAAAATTATTCTATTAATATATTACGTGGGAAAAGAAAGGAAAAAGATCATATGTATTCAACAATATTTGCTACTCTTATATTGATATAATAAAGATATACCAAACTCAAATTGGAGAAAAAAAAAAGAGATGTATTCAACAATATTTCACTAAACACAACTGTCGTACTCCGATGAACAATAAATACATACAAGTAAAAATCATACATCATCATGAAATGCTAAATCCATAATTTATCCCAACAAAAAACAACTTTCAAAATAACATATTTTGCCAACATGACAATTTAGCAAAGGTGGAGTTCAGTAATTAAAACTTAATTTTAAGAAGGTCCAGAATTATTAGCTTGAGTCAGTTTCAAACATGTATCTAGCTTGGACGGTGCATTGAGTTCATCAATCATATTATGCATAAAGAATGCAGGTTTGGAAGGTACTGGAAGATTGAAAGAGGAGCTACTAAGCATTAGTACCACTGAAGCCATTGTTGGTCGATCTGCTGCATTCTCTTGAACGCATAGTAGTCCAATGTGAATGCACCTTCTAATTTTAATTCTTGAATCGGGACTAAGTGTTGAATCTATGACATTTGTAGTTGTGCCTGCCTCCCAATTTTTCCATGCCTAAAAAAAATATCCATAATGATTACTAGATGTTAACGTTTATATGTTAAATTATAGTTTATTGCATGAAGTTCAAACTGATGACTGGGTCTAGTGGGAAAGTCTTGTAAAGGGATATGGTATATCAAATGGATACAAAGGAAGATAATAAGATTGTGAATTAAAAAAGAAATTAAATAATTATGACATACTCTCGTATCAAAATCTTCCAATATACTAGCTATATATTGTCAGCAGCTAGGAGTGTTGTTATGTATAAAAAATATGTTAAGGAATTACAATCATATACTTACAAAGTTGCAGAGATGTCCAACTTTTCCATCGGGAGAACAATTATTTGTTTGGCCGCTCACAATTTCAAGAACCAAGACACCAAAGCTAAAGACATCTAATTTTATTGAAAGTTATCCTTGCATTACATATTCCGGAGCCATATAACCACTGCAAAAATAAAATAATGTCAAAATAGATATTATTCAAATATATTGTAAATGATTTCTACTTACAAAGTTCCCACAATTCTCCTGGTATTTTTCTGAGTCTCATCTACTTCGAACAACCTTGCCATACCAAAATTTGCGATCTTCGAATTCATTTTTACATCCAATAAAATATTACTAGCTTTGAGATCACGATGTATGATTCGAAGACGAGAATCTTCGTGAAGGTAAAGTAGTCCCCGTGCAACACCAATTCCGAGCTCAGCTGAGAAGTCCTTTGTTGCAGCTTTAATAGTGTCAAAATCATATTGAATCGTCTCTACACTTTTGATCTCATCAGTACTGGTTTCAACAGGAGCAATACCGGTTTCAACAAGTTCAATAACAGCAACACCTGATAGATAATGAAGACGCGAACCTCAATTCATTAGTATGTGTTTAAAGGTACAAGCACCTTTGAAAAAAACCACAAAATGAAATTAGAAAAACTTCCATCTAAAACAAGATCATCAAAACGCACAGAGGAGTCATAAATAATTAACCACTCACCTTCAATTCTTTGTAATGGTTTAAAATGCTTTCGCTTCCTGCATCTCAAAAGGATGAAAATGGAAGCAACGAGGATGATAGCAGAAACGATGGGCACCGCAACGACTAAAACAGTTCTATCCGTATTGCCACCGTTTCCTGCAAGAAAAGAAAAAATAGAAGTCAGAAAACCCAATCCCACGGGTCAACTAACCGTTAAACAAGCTCTAAAATATTTCTTTTAAAATTTGGGATTAAACAGACACTAAACTATAAGAGTTGCAACGACATTACCACGGTCGGGCGGTG